ACTATGTCATAGTATATAAATATTGATACAAATGACATTCATAAGGGCCGGGAAGGTGGGGAGGGGTGTCCAGTCCATATCACCGTAGTGAACATGATACACATCAGATCTGAATTTTAAAGATGTCAACTTCCGTCTATGATAATTATTCGTTCCGAAAAAAATATGAAAAAGTATTTTATCGTTACTACCAGAACAAAATGACGTTACAAAACATTGCGAAGACCCCAGAAAGTAAATGTTTCCGAAGGAAGTGCGACAGGATTGGAATTGAAATTATTATTGTACCTGAAATGATGAAATCTATCAAACATCTATAAACATTTACATTTAGGAGGTATTGTAAAGCATAATCAATATCAAAGATGTCTATGTTTTAGCAGTTTTTGTCTTAGTACATGTATAGTCATGTAAATGACGTAATATATGTCGGCTGTTTGTGAGGTACATTTTAAAAGAATTTTTCATTAAAACAACTTTTAAGAAAAAAACAACTTATTTTGTTAGAAACCCAATCTCGCTTTCTAATGGTAATCCGGGAATGACAAACCTAACTCTATAAAAAAAATGCACGCCGTAGTGACGGTGCCCACACGACACAAAATAACAATAGTTTTCAAATATTAATAACATATATGTAACTGCAAAAGTGTCTCAATAGGTAGCTAATAAGAAGGTTAAACAAGTTGCTGTCCTTTAAAAAAAAAGGACTAAAATACGTGGACCATGTGCATGTGTTTCTAAACATTTCTAGGTTTAGTGAATATTTATGTAGGTTCGTTCACTTTTTATATTATGATCTGCCTACTTTGACTGATAGTACCCACATGTGTCAAAATTGTTAAATGTTTTCTCCGATTGGCCTATATAGTTTTGTCATTTTAAAAAATTGGGCTATATTGATACATGTAACCCATAATGGCTGGGACTTTACATCTGTTCTGGATTTATACGTAAGATACCTATAATTGGAAAAATATATCTGAAGATACAGGTGTAGCACAGCTCTGTAGTACGCATATTTTTTTTTCAGAGCTCCTCCCCCTCCTCGATATGGAAAACCGTTGCTACAGGCCTGTATCAAGCTGTATATTAATAACTGTATATCAATTTATTTTTGCAAGGCTTGATGCGCAAAACAAATGCCGAAGAAGACTTATTCTATCTTTTAAAACCTAGAACTATTCGTTGAATGAAGTTCTTAATTCAAGTTGTTATTCTATATTCTGCAAGTTCTTCCTAGTTTACTTTTTAAAATGCATATGGCGTAGAATCGATGTTTAGTTTCTATATTAATGTGTATCTATAAGAAAGAAATTCAGATTCGCCAATAAAATAATAAATACGATATGCAGATTTAAAACCGACATTTGCCGATGAACATGGTATATTCTTATTCGAATAGGGTGAATTATTCTACGGGTAAGCTGTCTCAGGGGAGGGGGGACTCTCCCAATCGCAAATTCTCGGGCCTTTCCGACTTGCGGAAGTTGTTTTTCCGACCTCTAACGGAAAGACCCGAGATGAATCACCAGCATTGGCACGCTTGCGTAGCCTGACGTTTGCCCATGGCATCAGGTTTAACCTCGCTTATATACTGCGTGGGTCCACGCAATAAGAAAAGGGACTTGAACTAAGTTTTGATATTTTAAGATTAAGTGTTTTGTTATTCTGCATTTCGATTATTTGTATTTTGCTTCATTTAAATCGAAAAATATATAAAAGTGGGGGTGGGGGTTCTGATTATCAAGATGTACAATTTTGACTACCAATGAACAAGTTTATATCAAGAATTTAATTTCAAACTAGAGACAGCCCTTTCCTATTTTCTGTTGATCTCCTCTCGACTTTGACCGTTGGTCGATCGTTTACAGCTGACACCAATGCAAGTGACTGCGCATTGCATAGAAAACAAAACGTACCGACTTCTATAGCTGACGTGGATAAACTACTTTAATCATACTCATAACATTTCAGTAAAATATAATATTTATTTCTACAAGTCTAGGAAATCATGCCTGTTAGACAGTACTACTACATTGTACTACTAAATTCTGGGATCCCCTCCCGGAAATTTGTGCATTTTTACCTCCCGCTTGAAAATCAGGAGGGTTATAGTAATCGATATGTCCACCCGTCTGTCTGTTACGCTTTAAACGTACCCGTCTCTTATCCGCATATCCTATTATACCACAGAATGAAATTCAATGAAACTCTAACAGAATCTTAATGACATATTGCCATTGTGCACCTTAATTTTACTTTTCGATCCGACACATGTTTTGGGTTTCTAGCGGCAAATTATAAACATAACAGAGAGGTATCCCCAAAGCGTAACGGACGGACGGACACCCCGATCACTATATACCCTCCCACTTTTCAAGCGAGGGTAAAAAATCTAAAATCAAAGAAGATTGAAAGAGGCATATCATATAACCCCGATATAGGGAGTAATTAATATGTTCATAAAAAGATCCAACATTTATAGCGCCGTCATTTGTTGGAATGAAAGGTGGAGTTCTATTGATAGCTTTTTCAATGCCAAAAAAAATTCCAACTTCATAAACTATACGTTCAATTTTCTAAGTACTCACCTCATTTCATCTGGATGAATAAAGTTTCGTAGATTAGCGTGTTTGGTACAATCGTTTATTAAAAAAATTATAGATTAAACTATTTCAAACTATCAACGATGTATGATGAATTGAAAGACAGTTCAAAATGGTTTACTGGAATATTTGCAGGATTGAGTAAATAGTTCTCGGTTAAGAAAATTTACAGATTTCATTTAACGTAACGTTAAAATCAGTAACGTCGTGATGACGTCGTTACGTCAAAAATTGTAATTATTGAAGAAAATGCACCATTTTCCCAAACCTCTGGCGGAAAAACGGTAAGAGATAATTCCAAAAAATAAAATTATTTTGAAAGGACACATCGTAGGCATGTTTGTAAAAAACTTCAGTCAGATTTAGAGACAGGGCCGCCTCGTTATACATACCGTACCCAGTTCTTTCTATTTTAATTTTCTTTTAATTTAATGACTCAAAAGATACTTCTCATCCAATTTAAAGCTGAACGCGATTCGTAATTTATAAAGAATTTGTCCCCCATTTTTGATCGGACTCGTGCTATATCTGAGGACCCCTATATAAAGGGCCTGACTAATCCACTGATCAGTGTATTCAGTCTTCACTGGTATAGACAAATGTATGCTATACAGCACTTGGTAGCAACATAAATAACTGTAATACTTCTTCTAATGCAGGAAAGTAAGATACAAAAGAAACTTACAATAGTTGTACAGGTCAGTATACAAACAAACACAGATACATGTAACTGCAATAAAATGTAAACAAAGGTAATGCAAGATAACCAGCACGGACACAGGTCACCATTCCAAACAGATAAAAGTGCCAAAAAAAGCAGTCAGGTGTAACGAATGCTAAGAGTATACCGTGGTATTGATATTGTAAAAAATAATATAAAAAATGGTGAGCTTCTGGTTAAGTCAGCGGCATTGAGCATATGCCTCTTTGTATTAACCTACATGAGATATCTTCTTTTTTTTTTTAATCATGCCTTGTAAATGAACCGATTCCACTCAGTAAACCGGGTAAATATAAATTTAATGGATATATAAGATGGGTATCACTGATGTGCTAATGCTAGAATAAAATGCTGTTATAGATGGAAGTCATCAAGTACACATTATGTAAAAGTGTTGTCCTAGAACACTAACCAGAATAATATTTATTTTATTAGCATTACCAAGATTACCTGAGATTTCTAATGACATAATTTACTAGAAATAATTTTTAATCAAGATATTATCTAGTCACTGACTTAAACGTAACTGCATGTTTATTTTTAAATCAATAAAAGTATTATTTATAGAAATATATTGATTATTGTTTTAATAAATTAACTGAATTTTGTCTTTGATTTATTTTTATTTCAGAGAGATTATAATATATTATATGTATATATATAGAATTATTACAATATTAAGTTTAATATGTTTAACACAAAACAAGATATTAACAATTACAAGTGTCAATATTCACAAAAATTTAATGATTTATCAATAAAGCACTAGTATTGTGTCTTTTCATTACTAGGTCTTTCTGTAAAGTTCATGTAGCAGTAAATACTTAAAGCCGCTTAGTCCGATTCTAATCGCTAAAAAATATATTCGTTTTACTTCTTGAAAAATAATTGTCCATAAATTGTTTCAACTTTTGTCAAATTATATCCCCTAAGTCTTTTTCTTTTAAAAGATATAAAAATTCAAAAGTTAAAAAATAATTTTTGTTAGGTCCCACAAAAAATAATCCTATGTTGATATCGCGTGAAATCACCTTTGAAAAATTAAAATTATTGCTTTTATCTCATGAAGAACAAACCCGAGCATTTTGTCCACAAAAAAGTACTTATACCTGTACATGTAGTCACGTACAGTATTTTTAGCCTTCGTTATTAAACTTCCTTTAAAAATTTTTCCTTCATTCTTTTAAATATGCATATTAATAAATTACTATATATTATATTCAATTAATTTCTTAATTTTTAAAAGATATATTATGACTTAGGCTTCTACTAATGGAAAAAAAACACTCGGGTTTGAATTATCTTCATAATTAGATATAACCGATAAATTTATTTTTTTCAAAGGTGAGTTCACAACAGATCTTAACTTCCCGTCGGGAATTTCTGTTTGTCAATAAGGTTTTTGATCTATTTTTCCTTGTAAGGATTGTTGTAATAAACTAAAAAATCATCTCATAATTTATTTTAATATATTATCTATGTTATGACGTACTTTTATTGTGTAAGATAATATGTGCCTGTTTCGGATTAAGCGGCTTTAACCATTTTACTCAAACCCTTAAAATGGAATATACATATACCAGTAGCATACTTCACACAGAATATTTTACTTTATACATTTATGAAATCATTAATGTATAAGATATGTTGATTTTATCTATACTGAATACCTTGAACTCAGTCAGCCATTCTCGTACTACTCGTGGTAGAGTCATTCTGATTCAATCCTTACATGGTCATCTGAAATTAAAGAGGAAAATATAATAATCCATAAAAAGGTTCAGAATTACAAAGATACATGCAACTTCAATACTTTAATGATTTAAGAAATTGATAATTAAGTACAAGTATAAGAAAATGTTGTTTTTTTTTATTATTGTTATACATTGGTCAACATAAAAAAAACTGATTGAAAAATAATATTTGATCTCCAAAGAATTATTTTTCTACCATTACATTGTACATGTTGTATGTACATTTTATACTGGGTACTTAAAAGAACACTGTATTTACTTCAACAAAGTGAATGGGACTGAGTGACATAGCAAAAGCCTATTTTAGCCCTCTCTCTAATTAAAAATGCATGTGTATCCAAACAGAGTGAGGAGGTAGATATACATTTAAAAAATTAATTTAATATCTACCCAAGTTATACTGTACATGTATAACATGAGTTTGCACAGTTTACGCTTTATAACCAAAATTAAATTATATTTAAAAAAATCTGTTTATTTTAATATTATACGGCTAAACCAGACTCTTAATTCACTCGCATGAAAGTAAACAAACATGGTAGCCTATTCATATTGTTGAATAATTTATTCATCTCTTTTTGCCCATTTAATTAAGTAATATGTTTAAGGTAGGTCGCGGGTTTGCTTTTATCATCAATTTTGGTACAAAATTTTGATGATCCGTGCTGTTGTTTTGTGCACATTTGATTATGATCACTTACGTCACAAAGGCAATGTTGTGTTGTTTCCCGTTTAATTGTCTAAAAATGACTGTATGAAGTCATGTACGAATCAAGTAGGTTATACAAAGTATGCAAACTTCGTACATGTATGAACCAATTAAGATCTGTTAAAATTAAATTACAGTCTGAAATTCTGATGTGATTGTGTGTAACGTCTTTAAAAAATTAATATACCAAATGAAAGGAATAATTTATATCGTAAGTGTAAGCGTAACTAAACTGCTTAACTGAAGTCAATCAAAATGAGACAGGGTAAAAGTTGCAAAAAGAAAATTATCATAAATAAAATTGCTAAACCGAAAACTTGAAGGATTGTATGTGTGCATTGACTTGATTTTTGCAACTCAAAGGGAACGTGCGTATGTAGCATCATGACTGCAAATCAAAGCCGGTGAAAAATATATGTATACATACAGGATGAAATCAATCCTTGACACTAAAAACGAGTGAAATTTAATTACATGTATTTTACTTTAAATTTATTTCTTATCATCATTAGTACATGAATTTGATTTTTTTTAGATCTCATGCAATGCGTTAATTGTTATGTATAATACACTGGCTAACAAATTATGATTTGCATTTACAAATTAATTTATACAAACACCCTGACAATCAGTCCTATATGATACTGTAAACAATTTACAAGTATCGTTTTTCATATAAAAAAGCTCTGTGTGTATTTATATAAGCTAAATGGAAGTGTTTTACAGATTGCATATAGAAATTTGATTAGGAGTATTAAAAATTAACAAATGTTTGAGAGTTAGAGCAATTTACTAGCTTGCGACTAATAAAGATAGAACATTGCCAGTCCCCCCCCCCCCCCCCCCCTCCTCACTGGGATGTTTTTCTTTACCGTTTTTCGAATGAATAGATCAAATTCATTTGTTGTGCTTGAAATCTTACTGAATATGAACATCTTAAAAATACAGGAAATAATATTTTATCATTTGCGGTGTTGTCACTGCATGCTAGTTCTCATTCACGACAAATGTTTATATAGTTCATTCTGACTTTGTGGGCAGAATATGAGTTTCCCAATATTAGGATAAAAAAGTTGCTGGTTGGGCCTAATATGTATCTGCAATAAGTTAAATGATGAATAAAATTACATTTCGCGTCTATCTCACCTTTAGGTCTTGCATATTCCAAATGTCAAAATAATACTTTACATACTGTTAATGTGATTACGTTCAACATATGACGTTATGGGGATAAATAATGCCATAAACGCAATATTTTGGCAATATAACAGCAAACTTTGAAATTATTTAGCAAAAAATAGAGAAGACATATTAATTTTTTTTATATCAATAATTTTGATTTTACCTCATCTTGACATTTTGAAATTTTGACTAATTCGCCTACGTCTTTTAAATGTTATCCAACCTTTTTAAAAGAAACTCTTTTGGCAAAATTGGCTTAAAAATGTCAATTTTCCATATACTGTAGAAGTACCTTTTTCCGCGTGGTATTAGTTTACGCTACGAGGGCCGTTCAAAAATTACGCGGACTTGTTGCACAGAAGAAATATTTGATGACATAATCGGGCAAAATTTCACAAATAATATAAAAGAATCTTTACTTATATGGTCTTCAAAATTTCATATCAAAATGTTGTAAATTGGTATTAATTTTGAGTGATTTTTCAGGACATACCATTAAGTCATGGCGCAGCAAAATCTTCGATGTTACAAGCATTATAAAAATATGTGATTGAGCTTTCATTTTCTCAACATTTTCCCTTGAGTACCTGTATAGTTTGAGTTACCTTATCTACTCAACATCAAAACACCATTTCTTGTCAAGCTTAAAATCTATTAAACAAGTAAAGAATATTCTTTTTTTTTTTGTTTTAAAACCAAAAACTACTTATGAGATATAGTGTGATATTGGTGACTCTCAATCACGTTCTTTACAGTCCGGATAAAGTTAACTTTTCGTCTATAATCCTCTTCCCGTCCTCCCGTATAGCCTTTTTACAGAGGTCTAACTGTCTAAAATTTCAATTTGCTATTTGTGGGCGAATGTCACAAGTAGCCTAGTTTACTACATGTTTTATTATGCATATTTTGGATCTATGTTGCCGATATCTCGAGCATTACACATATTTTAACAAAACTGTGGTGCGCCGTCAATTTAGGAGACGTCATTTTCACAGTCGTTTTCACGGGAATCGCATCAGAGAAAAATCACTATATTTCTGTTAGTACTTCAAATATTACGTCGGAAATCTAAATACATAATAATAGAACAATTTAAAAGTACATTTGAGAAAACTGTTGAAAAATATCGCGAATTTTAGAAAATCAATGAGTTAAATTTTTGAATCCGCATGCTTTTGCTTCAATTTTTTTGCCGTGCGCCGTACCACTCCATCAACGATATCAACATACCGATAATTTTAGTAGAATTTTTTTAAAATACAGAAATTTTGCCCAAAATTTATTGGAATAATTAAGATACATATTTCTGTGAAATTTTATAACTATATGACGTCTGTAAGAGTAAATAATAGCACAGTCCGCGTAATTTTTGAACGGCCCTCGTATGTACCCGGTCACAAATTTTCCGCGAAAATTTGTCCAAGCGTTCTTAATATAAATGTACGGCTTATAGTGACAATCTAGAAAATCAGCGTAATTTTCTACCTGCGGATTAAACAGAAATTGAGATTCCGCGGAATTATGACCCCGTGGAAAAAAGTACGTCTACAGTATTTCAATAGACAAAAGTAAAGCGTAAAAATAGTATTAAAAATGAAACCGAGTTTACTGTAATATAGCATTAAAACTATGTAGGCAAATTCAACAAAATTACAGATAATATACTGTAAATTCTAAGGAACATTATATCAAATCTTCAGGATATGTTTTCTCTCAAAAATTTTGATGGGTAAACCCGCGACCTACCTTAAAGAGCTCATACTCATTGTGACCATTTTAAAAAAAAATAAAGTTCTTTTTTCCTTCTATCATATTAATTGGCTGTGTAAAGCACAGACCTTCATATCACTTTCATCTGACCGACCAACATGAATAAAAGAAATATAAAGATATGGTACTCCTCAAAGAGGGTTCAATTGATTATTTTTTTTAATATACATTAAGTGATCTCAAGGCCTGTGGCATAAAGCCAGTTTGAATGCTAATATGACTTTTGACATTTGGTTGAGTGACAAATCATAAAAAAACCTGGATAAATATTAGAAATAAATACAGATATATATACAGATATATATCAGAAATTTATAGCGAGCGCAGCGAGGCGGTGCGAAGCGAAAAGTTCGGAATCTCGATCCGGACGCCTGAGAAGTGATTTCTTTCTTTCTTTTTTATTTTTATTCTTTTCTTTTTTCAATGAACAGAGGACAGGCAGTGCAAGTAAAAGCTGTGTAAAGGTTTTTGATAGTAAATAACTGCGCTCGCCCCAACGGTCGCACCGTAGAACATATTAAAGCCAGCAAACAAGAAGCATAACAGGGACAGGGAATCACTAACCCCTAGAACCTGAGTGATGTTTAATCTGGCATCATAGTCTCTGATAGAGTGCAATGATTTTACAGATTTGTTGATCTGAAAAGTTAAATCTATCCAAAAAATTTGAAGGGTGATACAGCCTGATACCTGATACCCATTGAGGTACTGTGATACAGTCTCATGAAATACCACTTTAAGTCGTATCATTACTAGGGGTGGGACGATATACCGATACACCGATACATATCGATATTTTCCTCTAAGATACGGTTTACGATACAAGCATTCAAATATCGGTACGAAACGATACACGAACGACCTATCCAAAAATTGAAAATGAAAGTACCTGTCCTTGAAAATGGCGGCCTGTACGAAGCGAAGAGATGGTTTTGATATTGAAAACACACTTTAGAACTAATAAGTCGTTGATGAGGGGTAATACGTTTTCACTTTTAAGCAGCCTCGGAAGATTGGACAAGAAAAGTTCAGTGTGCAAAGCGTGCTATACACAGAAAAGTATTGTTTCCAGAACATTTGATATTATTAATTGTTAGTCCATTCGTACTTATTTTGTAAACTCAACAAGGCTACCAGACTTTAAGCAATTCATAATAATGTAAATGTGATTTATTAAAATGAATTTTTAGTCAGTGTTCGTTGATAACTACACAACTATTTGTAAACAATTTGTTATTTGGTAATGTGTACAATTGTCCTGTACTATTGTTTTTGTAAAGTTTCAGTCAATGAAGTTGATGAACTTCAAGTATTAATTTCATAGCACATATGATTTGATATAGAATAATTTTTTGAGTTAATGTCATGACAAAAAAATAAATAAATAAAATACTAATTCTTTTGAATAGTTTTATAATTTATCATGTGTTAATGTCAAGACTAAAAAAAATGAAATAAAATACTATTTTTTTAATAGTTTTATGATTTATCATAATATCGAGATACGTATCGTATCGTGACAATATATCGAGATACGTATCGTATCGCAAGATCTGTGTATCGTCCCACCCCTAATCATTACCTGTAACATCCCTAAGAATAACCATGCTTTAAAGAACAGAAGCACTCAAACATTAAAAAATGAGTTTGTTGAGTTACAATTATATCTGAATTATTGAAGACTATGCCTATACCCTCCATTTCTTTCAAAATGATCAAATCAAGACTTTGATATGATACTAGACGTGAGGGAAAGAGGGTGAAGTTATTTCGTGTCTCTTTAGAGTCCCATGCTTACAAGCTTCACATTTCTATAATGGATCTGGAAACATTTAACAAACATTGTTTAAAGTGTACTGCAATTCAGAAAAGAGTTTAAATTTTGCAGTAAATCGTTGACAACTGGGCGTAGCTAAGACTGAGGAAATTCGAAAGTAGAGCATATTGCTTGACTAATGTTTTCTTTGTAATCGGTGACAGTCCAAAGAATTATTTAAGCCAGAAATCTTTAGAATTAATTGATGATAAATAAAGCATAAGATTGTCAAAACTTACAAAGTTACAATGAAGTTTCGGCGACTATCAATAATCAAAACAAACCCGGAGTATTCGGTAAGTTTTAGTCAGTTCGATCAATAAATGTTTCGCTCTAGTCATCGATTCTAAATAAAATGAAATACATGATATATTACATGTAGCATAGTTTACCAATATATATATCCATAAAGTTATTTACTAGTACTGAGCATAATAAAAGGTAACAAAAATAGATATTCTGTTTTGCATCACCAGCAGAACAGGGCAACATTTGTCATTTTGTAGTGATGACTTTGATCAATTGATGAATTTACGATGTTTACTTGCATCTATCTAGCTGTTCTTCTGTGTCCATCTGTTACATCTTACATCTTGAGATTTGTCAAAGGCATAGATTTATTATTTTGGTCACATATATTGCTTCGCACAATGGCTTTTGTAAAATTTCAAATCAATGATCCTTTGACTTTTCAACTTGACCTTTGAACTACTTTTCAAAATATTTCATAATGCATACATTATTACTTGATTATGATTATTCCATGTCTGATTCATTCCCAAGTAACATTAAGCTGTATTAAGCCCTGCATGGATGATGCATCTAGGGTCTAATATCATAGATACTATATGTACCAGACTTGCTTTTAATTAGATGCTGATTCTGACCTAAATTTTCCAGATAACTGACCAGATTTTTGAAGCAGGTCCATTCCAAATTAACTTGGTAACCAAGTGACCAGGTTTAAACTTTTAAGAGCATGGCTTATAATTACTTGAGAACTTGCACTTGAATCTTTATCTGAGAATTAAGACAATGCTAATTTCAACACTGGTGGGTATATATAGCATAAGCTCATCTCTATATAGCTACTTTATTGAGGTGAGCTAAAAATGTATAAAAATTATTCCCCATAATTTCAATTCTCTCATTCATTGTTGCTTTGAGGACTGAGGAATCATATTCCAATTCAATTGTCACATTTTATGATAAACAGAAATAAACAGTATATTCTTTCATGGTCTTGTTTTTTTCTTTGCAGGCACATGCATGAAGTAATATACCATCATTCATGAAGGTGTTTTTTTTTCATATATTTAACGATATGCTATAGCAGGTGACACATATTCCTGAGACCACTTTAATTTTTTAATTTTTTTTATTCTTCCTGGTAAAATGCATGCAGGTCTTGCTTAAATTTTAGCAAAACTACAACCTGTGCACATAGATAACTTTTAAAAACAAGAGGCCCACGGGCCTTATAGGTCACCTGAGCATTATGCAACAACTTTCCAGTTACAGTGTATTGAATTTGATTCAATAACATGTTTTAAGTCAGATGCTATATGGCATTCACAATTTTGAAAGAGCACCATTGATCATCATAACAGTAAACTTAGCAGTCGCTTAACTTGGTTACTGAATACCCATATGCAGGGTAGGGGAACAAAAATGCACTCCAACTAATCAGTAATATTCATCAATAATCAGTAGTACCCCTAACACTCTGACATAAACCCCTGACCGTAAGTTGCACAAATTTTTAAAAGGCACCCTTAAAATTGCCTATCAAAAAGTAAATAAATGTTTTATAAATACAAAGGACCAGATTTCAAACAATTAATTCATTTCCAGTATATAAGTAGAGCCCCCATCCCCCACTACTGACCCTTGGGCTTTGAAATTCACAATTCTGCAAGATTAGGGCCCTTGCTCATCATAACTATATAGGTAGTTCATCTGCTTCATACCCAGAGACAGAGAAGAAAATTTTCAAAGATTTAATGTATTTTCACTATATAATCAATAGAGCCCCACCCTAACACCAGAACCCCTGACCCTGGGGCCATAAAATTCACAATTTTTGTAGAGGCACTCTAGCTCATCATAACTATGCACTTAGTTGGTTTATTTAATACCTAGGAGCAGAGAAGAAGATTTTCAAAGAATTCATGTAATTTCACTATATCATCAATAGAGCCCCCCCCCCCCCACCAGAACCCTTGATGATAGGGCCATTTAATTCACAATTTTGGTAGAGGCACTCTTGCTCATCATAACTATGCACTTTGTTAGTTTATATAATACCTAGGAGCAGAGAAGAAGATTTTCAAGGAATTCACATATTTTCACTATATAATCAATAGAGCCCCCCCCCCCCCCCCACCACCACCAGAACCCTTGACCCTGGGGCCATAAAATTCACAATCTTAACTATGTACTTAGTTAGTTTATTTGATACCTAGGAGTAGAGAAGAAGATTTTCAAAGAATTCATGTATTTTCACTTTATAAACAATAAAGTCCCCCCCCACCAGAACCATTGATGCTGGGGCCATAAAATTTACAATCGTGGTAGAGGCACTCTTGCTCATCATAACTATGCACTTAGTTAGTTTATTTAATACCTAGGAGCAGAGAAGTAGATTTCCAAAGAATTCATGTAATTTCACTATATAATCAATAGAGCCCCCCCCCCCCCACACACACACACACACCAGAACCCTTGACCCTGGGGCCATAAAATTCACAATTTTGGTAGAGGCACTCTTGCTCATCATAACTATTTACTTACTTGGTTTATTTAATACCCAGGGGCAGAGAAGAAGATTTTCAAAACATCATGTATTTTTACTATATAATCAATAATGCCCCCCCCCCTAACACCAGAATCTCTGACCCTGGGGCCATAAAATTTACAATTTTTGTAGAGGTACTCTTGCTCATCATAATTATGAACTTAGTAAGTTTATTTAATACCTAGGAACAGAGTAGAAGATTTTCAAAGAATTCATGTATTTTCACTGTATAATCAATAGAGCCCCCCCCCCCCCCCCCCCCCAACACCAGAACCCTTGACCCTGGGGCCATAAAATTCACAATTTTGGTAGAGGCACTCTTGCTCATCATAAATATGCACTTAGTTAGTTTATTTAATACCTAGGAGCAGAGAAGTAGATTTTCAAAGAATTCATGTAATTTCACTATATAATCAATAGAGCCCCCCCCCCCCCCAACACCAGAACCCTTGACCCTGGGGCCATAAAATTCACAATTTTGGTAGAGGCACTCTTGCTTATCATAACTATTTACTTACTTGGTTTATTTAATACCCAGGGGCAGAGAAGAAGATTTTCAAAGAAATCATGTATTTTTACTATATAATCAATAGAGCCCCACCCTAACACCAGAACCCCTGACCCTGGGGCCATAAAATTCACAATTTTGGTAGAGGCACTATTGCTCATCATAACTATGCACTTAGTTGGTTTATTTAATACCCAGGAGCAGAGAAGAAGATTTTCAAAGAATTCATGCATTTTCACTGTATACTTATTTAGCCCCGCCCTAGCACTAGAACCCCTGACCCCAGGGCCATGAATTTCACAAATTTGGTAGAGGACTCAATGCTGATTACAATCATGCAAATAGTTTGACTGCTTAATGTCCAGGAGTAAAGAAGAAGATTTTTCAAGATTGCATTAATTTTAGTGGTTTTGACCCCACCCCTCAGGCCCCAGGGGGCAGGGATCATGAAATTCACAATTTTTGTTCCCCTTCACCCATAGATGCTTTGTGCCAAATTTGGTTGAAATTGGTTCAGTGGTTGCAGAGAAGAAGCTGAAAATGTTCAAATGTTAACACACGACACACGACGCACGACGCACGACGCACGACGACGGACGAAAACGGATAGCAATAGGTCACCTGAGTTTACTCAGGTGACCTAAAAACTCTGACAATAGACAAACTGCACTGAATGATGTTATTTTTTCCCTCCAGGAAAAACAAGTGTTTTGTTTAAAGTGCTCACCAGGTAATTATCAGACATGAAAACATTTCCTGACATTGTTAATTATTCAGTTATTGCTTCTTTTGAAGTAGACATCTGTCCTAGTAACTAATTTAGAGCTAGAGAGAAAAATATACTCATAGAATGTATCAGTATAATTAAAATTTACTAAACAATCTTTTGTGGCTTGAATACTTATATCTTTTTCATACCAGAATTCTTCATAAAACACATTTTGGACGGCTTTTTGGTAATATAAAAGATGACAAATTTTTTTTTAAAACAAAACAACCTTTAATCACAGACTTTCTATGTCTCAGGCATCACACCTGAACCAACAATCTTTAAATAATCATATTTATACATTCAAAACTTCATTTTCATATGGCAAAAAATGTATAGCACTTGTACAGTTGCTACTATACATGGTACTGTGAATATACACCATAAGATATACATAGTCAATAGCTGTGCTATAGAACTGCTATGGAACCAGGACTTAATATGAGAGTCAACAAGAAATGACTAAACAGCCTATCAGGCTAAAACTGTTAATTAATTATTAAAGCATAAAAATATTAACATAAATGCTCGTCAAAATGACCTGTATACTGTACTGATTTTTCCGTGGAAAATGAGACAAAAATGACATAACAACTAGTGCTAATTGTAACGGGGACCGTTACAGATGTTCCCCAAACGCTCCCCAACTCCCTTTTGGTGCCATATTCCCTATAAGCTTCATTCAATAAGACAAACTCTATGCATTTGAGACTTTAACAACGTTTACCCTGAAGTGTACCAATTTCATTCAAATTTTAGCATTGCACGCGTGCGCATGTGAATGCACGTGCGTAATGACCATATAATCTTGTCTCCACAATCTATAGATTTTAATATACTAAATATCGAAGTATTTAATCCAAAAGTATTAAAAAATACGCTAATTCAAGTGTATTTTTGATTTTACTCATTTCACGCGCACGCACGTGCTCACATGAGCATGGCGACCATACTTTCTTGTAGAAGTCCATTACATCTATCTATGTTCTAAATCCCACCCCGTTTGGTTGAAAACCAAGGGAGTAATAGCTGTTCAAAGTTTCAGCCAATCAGATTGCAGCGCACGTACATGCACGTGTATGCATGTGCATGGTGACCATGTCTTCTTGTAGAAGTTCATTATATCTATCCATGATCCAAATCCCACCCTGTTTGGTTGAAAATCAAGGGAGTTATAGCTATTTAAAGCATAAGCCAATCAGATTGCAGCGCACGTGCATGCACGCGTTTTCATGATAATTGCTATATATCTTATTGTAGGATATCCTAATACATGCCTATATTTAAAATTTCAAAGGATTTCGTCAAAAAACAAGAAAGATATTGAGACTTTAGTTTCAGCCAATCAGAGCGAAGCGCACGTGCATGCCCGTGTGATCTTGCTTTTTTGACCACGTCATCTTGTCTATGCTACTAATACATACTTCTAATATGAGTTTTAAAGCATATCATCAATAATTTAAATAGTTATGCTGTATCAATTATATTGGACATTTCTCGTGTTGCACGTGCGAGCTCTTGCAAGCACACGTGCATGCACATGCTTTCATGATATTTCTTTTATTACGGGCTGTAGATCTCCCTAATGTATGACCTTGTTCAAAATTTCAAATGATTTTATCAAAAAACAAGAAAGATATTGAGACTTTAGTTTCAGCCAATCAGAGCGAAGCGCACGTGCTTGCACGTGCGATCTTGTAATTTTGACCATGTCATCTTGTGCATACTACTCATATATCCTTACATTATGAGTTTCAAAACATTTCGTCTAAAAATAGAAAAGTTACGGTTATATCCATTATATATTGGTCATTTCAAGTTTTGCACGTGCGTGCTCTTGCAAGCACGTGCGCGCAAAATGACCTTGATTCCGCAAATCTACATAACATGCCTACTTACCCTAAAAAGGTTTCCCCTTAATCGGACGTGTACTTTACAAGATCATTCGCGGACAAAATTTTCCCGAGAAGAAAAATAATAATAATAATAATAATAATAATAATAATAAGAAACACAGTAAAAACAATATGTTCCCCAACTTCGTTTGGGGAACATAATAAAGATACACATAACAATTGTGGCATTACAAGTGCACGCAACATAGCTGTCTGTTTTTTTTCAGTATATATTACAAAAATGTCTATATTTACAGAATAAAAATGAAATATACAATCAAAGGAATGTTCTATGTGGCAGACAAAGGGAAAGTAAGAAAATCCTGATTGAGCAAGAATGATAAACAAAATATCTACACTCTATCGATATAGTTATTATATATACAGTTCCCTCATTTCTTACAGTATCATTCTTACATAATCAACAAACTAAGGACATTTTTCACTACTGGACTATAAACATCTTACACACAATAAGAAAAATATTACACATTTCTTTTAAATGCCAGTCATCCTCATACTCATCTTTTAATATATTACATTAAATTCCAATGCAAAAATATTTATTTATTCTTAGAGGAGTTGTAATTTTTTTGGGGGAAAAATCAACTCTACAAAACCCCCTTTCAATAAAAAGAAACCCCATTATTTCTAATTTATCTTTATAAAGATAACACATTATATCATTTTTATATAATAAAAAGAGAGCCCAAAAAGAAAATCCCATTAAAACCATTTAATATACAAAACTACTTTTTTCCTTAAAAATAATACACAATTATTCCATGATGCATCAAATGACACATTTTTACATTTGTTCCTCTCATGTCAATAAATGCCAATTCTGCTCTTAGCAAAATGTCAATGAACACATTTGTGTTGGGAGTGTTTGTATGTCACAACAGTTAAACAGAACATGATACATACACTTTTTTTTTTACACTCATATCTATTGATCATAAAAAAGCATCTCCATAAAAAAATTATACATTGTACTGTAAAAATGGATGAAAGTATGGAAAAAGTAAATGCACTTGTTTTCAGCAATCAATATCTAAGGTTTAATCAGACAGAAAGATAACAAAACAGTAACTAAACCCACCACTATCCTACTATCTGCCCTGCTAAGTGGCTTTGTGCCTCTAAATTTTTGTAAATGCCATTTATTTTTATATGTCTGACTAGATATTACATCTACTATAGTAAGGAATAGTAAGGAAGATTTCCTCGGTCGAGAGAGACTAGAAAGCACCAGCTGACCTTGAGCAGAACTGATTCTACAGGAGAAAAAGAGCAATAAATTTCCCTCTCCTTAAACTCATTCTACATTTCATGCAATTTTCCATTTATTTCTTTTTTTTTCAATGGCATCAATTCTGCAGAAAAGATACTGGTAATACTGATTTCAATGGGAATAAAAATTCATTGCTACTCTTTTAGTACAAGTTATAACCCTTTACTTAAAAATGTATAAAAATAACAGTCGTTTAAGCATTATAATATACAAGTAAAACCTAGGAAAAATATAAAGGTAAGGCATTAATTTTAAATTCTACTTCTACTTATATCTTTATTGCTTAAATTTGCAGTAGCACCTGTATCTTATCTATCATGCACCAAGCTGAATTCTGTTAATATTTTTGTGCATCTGATTAAAAAAAAATAATTAAAAATTTGTTCAATGAACCCTGAAACAGAAGATATTAAATGCAATTTGTTCATTTATAGAATGATGAAGTTGTTATACATGAGGATCATAAAAAGTGATTTCAAACACTTAAACTTGTATTAAATGACGTAATACAAAATACCAGTATGGGTCTTGAAAATAAAGTACAACTGTACCTACGTTTTACCCTGACTTTGTCTGTGTACCCTTTGTTGCTTTTTTTTTTATGACAAGTTAATTTTTTGAGACCACCACCAGGGCTAGATTTCTTTTTTTTTTTTTAAGTTGTATTTCCCTTTCCTCCATGGGACTTTAACTTTACACCATTTTTAGGAGACAAATTCATCAATCGTAAAGATCACTCAAACAAAATAACAATTTTCGTCAAAAATATTATTAATGTTTTGTATAAAAAAATGCTTTCTTAAACTGGATTTCACAAAAACACAGAAATCAAAATAAACACATATTTGGCTGGTTGAAACTTGTACAAATGGCATATACACTTGATCTTCATTTTACATTACCCTTCAATATTTCCTACCCGAAATGTTTTATACCATATTAAATTGACAAATTAATAAAATCTGATTGAAACATACACAATAAAAAATATCACAATGTTTTGAACTAATGTCTAAGAACAATAGTGGTACAAAAAAGTTGAAGATTTGCAAATAGGGACCAGCAATGAAGACCGCACACTGAGTATTGTAGTAACAGACTTTAAATAGGCATGTGGGCCAGCTGGTAAAAGTCCCTGTCATCTTCATCTTCAAAGTCGCTGTCTTCATCTTCTTTGTCAAGCTGTCAAAAAAGATAATTTCGGTATCAACTACTCAGCAAGCATTGAAATACAAACTTATTGGACACTTGAATAAGACACACAATTTTAATAGCTCAAGATTATAAAGAACTTCATACTTTAGAAAGAATACTTCTAAACATACAGTTATCAAATGCAGTTAATATCAATTTCAATGGAGATGAAAACTTGATTTTGAATATTTTTTTTCTCAATTTGGAATAGAAATTAAACATCACAGAATCTCTAAAATTCATGTCACTGTGTGTAAACCTGTCAGAAAACATATCCTTTGTTTACTTTCCCTAACAAAAACTGTCTCATTTCACCCATAATTCTAAAATGCAACCATTTTCTACTTACCTCACCAAGTTCTTGCTCCGAGAAGAAATAATTCATTACTTTTAGGCGAACTGGAATCAAGAGAATAATAAACAGAGGGAAGGCTATAGCAGCGGGGGACAGCTTGAGACCAAACATCAAAGCAAGCATCAACACCTGTATCACCGTGAACAGATGCATCTTAATGGTTCGCACCTGTAAAGAAATTAAATTTACATCAATAGGGTTGAAAATTTCATTATGCACAGACAAAATACAGTAAAACAACCTGGTTATAACAAAGTCACTGGGACCTATAAAATTACTTCGCTATATCTGTAATTTGTTATATCCGTCCAAGAAATTCATTGAATTTATATAGTTGGAGATCCAAAATAACATCATTATATCCGTGAATTTGCAATATCCGTGTTCGTACTAAACTAGTTTTAATATAGATGCATTAAAAATTATACACATGATTAGCATTAAAAATTATACACGATTATCTGATCGAATATCTTTTAAGATGGGTTTGAATTTCTCCTGACCATCTTAAGGATTTATATGAATTACTTTAAAACCTTAAGAAAGGTATGAACAGGTTTTACTGTAACAGGGCCTTTGCAACATCTTCAAACAAGTAAACTGCAAGAAAACTTTGTTGAATTTTAATTTTTTTTCTTTAGATGAAAGTCCTCCAGCTGGCACTTACCCGCCTGACGTAACCAATGGAGGGGTGATGTTTATTGGGTATAAATAACAACTTCATTCTGCGATACAACTGGAGACTGCTTAAAGCGGACACGCCCACATACAGGAAAATGCCAAATAGAACAGCCATAGGGACAAGACGTAACAAAGGACCCCACAACAAGGATAAACCTACAATATATTAAACAAAGTCTGTGATAATAAAAAATATACATAGGAATTTCTATTTCGTACAGTTAAGTTCATTTGGAAAGGTACTTTTACAGAGAATGTGTTGAGATTTACATTAAATTTTTTTTTCAATGGATTATGTATTTTTAAAAGAGGCAAATAAAACCTTAAGGAATGTACATTCTTTAGCATCACTCAACTTATCAACGACTAGCAAGGTACTTGTACATGTCTCACAGTCTGTGTCGTTGTGCCGACATGCCTCTGTGTCGTTGTGCCGATATGCCTTACCTAATAATAAATTGACAGCAATACTGGTGACCCGTTGTTCCCGAACTTTGACAAGACGTGGTTTTTCACCCGGAGCATGGAATCGACTATATACACTGAGAGATGAGACATGGCACAGAGTTCGGACTGTAGCGGCACACATCCACGGCAACCCAAACAGTCCCCCGATAAAAGAGAGCACCCCCAGCAACACCTGATCTAAATGATATCCTGAGCCTTTCTTCATTTTGAACTCTTTTTTGTTCAGAGTCATTCTGAAAGTAAAAATAAAGGGTACTTTTAACTTGTATTCTTATTATGAGAGGCCCAAGGGCCACAATGCTCGACTGCAGTACAATGACGTAATTGTTTCTATGTAACATTACGCATATATTAATAAAAGAACTTATAAGAAATGTTTTTGTCCATAGATTCAGTAATACATACTCAGTTATTTGGGTTTCTAAGAAGAGCAAAATAAAGAGAAGAAAGGCTGGTAGACTGGCTCCAATGATCATGTCGGTTTTCATTGGCTTCTTAATCCCCATGGGGTGAACAAACCAACCTCTCTTTGAACCATCTGTTGGTTCAAAGTCATCGGAGATAATCAATTTCTACACAAAAAAGTAAATAATAAAATAAAATTTGAACAAATCTTTTTCAAACTAAAATTAACTAGAACTGTCCAATAGGGACAAATACTCCCCGCTGGGTTTTTCAGAGAAGGTGCCAATTCACAAATACTTTATGAATCTAGAGGTGTTCATAATTTTCTTACAAAAATTTGCAGTGAAAATACAATTGCTCTTTATATTTCTTAATGAATGAAACAAAGGTGCAACCAAATAAAACATCAATACTAATATATTGTAATTCCATTTAACTTTTTTTTAAATTTCTACATCTAAGAAATATATTGCAACTATTATGTGTCATGACACTCTGCAAACTGATTGTTGAAAAAAAAATCATATTATACAAAATAAAATTAATCTTGATAACTTTATATCAAATTCATTTTGAAAATAAAGAGCTGGTCATCCAGTAATGAAGTGCTTTGACAGACAATAAATTACAAGCTTGTGCTATATGTTTTCCGAAGAGAATTAGAGAAGAGAGATCTTTAATTCTTGTGCCAAATTCCCAGGAGATATCACATGCTTGATAAGATATGTCTTAACAACTTCCCACACCAAACTCATTAATTTATCTTTAACTGGTTGAATGTCCAGTCATTATTCCCAAGAGATAAATGAATTTACATTATCTTCAGTGTAATGTAAAAACTGTTTTTAACTTTTGATGATGTTTCTTTTTTTTTAGTTTTAAGGCCAAAATAAAATTATAGTTTGTTTTTTTATTGAAATTTTGAAAAAATTTTATTGACCAAAAGTAGGAAGATTTTTTTTTATTTGATCAATTTTTTTGCCAATTATGTATCACATGCACCATACAAAACACTGAAATATAGTGTCACTTTTTTTAAAAGTCAGAAAATGTATTTTTGAGACTTTTATCAAAAATTTCTTCAATTTAAAAAAAATAAAATAATTTCCCTCCCTCCCTCCTGTGTCTGAAACCTTTCAGGCGGCAATTCCAAACAAACATTTTTTTAAGGATGGCCTAATGAGTAGTTTTAAGCTGTAGTTCACAATTTTGTACTGATTTTCTAGATTTTATGTCTCAAACCTTATACATCAGCCCAAAATGAACAAGTCAATTAAAATAAAAAAAAACCTGTAAAATGCAGAAAAATGAACAAATAAAGTTGAAAATTCCACCTTCATATGATGAATAATAGGTGTACCAATTTTCAGATAAATCCTTGCAATAATTTCTGAGAAACAGTCTGCACAAAACCACAAAATAAATTTTCGCGATCAAACCTTTTTGGATCTGTTGTTAATAGACACATACACTTTAAGGACTGGTTCGCGGCGAGAAATATTCGCGATGACAAGACTCTCACGAACTTCGCGAAAATTTCTCGCACGCGAATAAAAGTTGGTTTACAGTATTTACCAGAGTTATGTCCCTTGCAAGCCTACTTTTCTATTCTTCCATTATGCAGAGAACTCCTGAGTAAATGTAAATGCTCTTTTTACTCGTATATAGATTCTCATCACTAGGCCCTACTTACCTGAGTATAAACTGTTGGTGTAATAGCATCAAGGAGCACCATTAGAAACAAAGCAATGACTACACCAAAGTCTCCAAGAGCTCTTCTGGCCTGGAAAAAAAATAAACAAGTTAGCTACCTTCATAAAGACATGTAAAGATCAAAATCCATAAAAAATATATAATATACTATATCATTTAAATTCGAGATCAGTCATTTTCTTAAAAAAATATTATTTTATTTTTTGTCTGAATAGCTTACTCAAAAAAAAATTTACTCACACTTCTGCCTAAAAATTTACTATTCCTGAAAATTCTCAGGAAGTAAGCGATGAAGAATGTGCCCAGCATGAGAACGAGGGAGAGTAGGGCGGTGTTTGGCTTGGGCTCCGTTTGAGTGTGGTAGCTGTGCTGGTCTTTACTGTACAGGTTCTCGTACAGAGTGATGGGGGACTTGGTGGACGTTTCGTTGATTGACACGATGGTAATGTTGTATGAGGAAATGTTAGGAGTACTACTATTGCAGACTGTGTATGTTTCCATCAATGGGTGATCAGCAAAAGTCTGAAAAAAGAAGTATATACAATATTAAACGAGAATAATTCAAGTTTGATAAATGAAACAGTTTTGCTCATTTATAGGCATTAATAAAAAATCAATGTAATGAAATTTATGAACTAGCCTGAGCAGGCATGTCAACTAGTACCCGGTTAAAAGTACTCGATCGAATGTCCGAGTATGGAATACTAAAAATGGTACTTGGTTACTCGGATGTACATATTTTTTCCATATATTGATAAAAAAAATTTTTTCTCCAAAAAATATTTTACATAAGCAATCAGTAATAAGTGTGTCATCACAGACACATGTAAACACCTGCAGCTGAGTATATACAGTAAATGTATAAGTATATGGTATATTGTCTTTAAATTTTTTTTTTTAAAGTTATTTAGTTTGTATACAGTAGCGAAATCAGACATACAAAGAAATGCCGCTACTCACTGAAAAAGTTACAAAATATTTAGATATACATGTAACTGAATATTAAAAATGTTTACAGTCAGTTAATATGTAGTAAATTTAGCATATACTGGGGAAACTTTTTTTAAACTAGCAACATATCAAATAATACGACTAGCAATCCCAACAATGTCAGTGTTCCTTCTCTTTCAATATAGTCTGATCATTACGAAGAAAGTAAACCATTATCATATAATGGTTACCATTTGTAATAACTGGTGAATTAATTGATCATTTGTGTGTGTACTAGCTGTTTTAGGATATTTAAATTACGTTTTAAAAAATCCATTTCGTTTGACTTTGACAATGCATTATAAATGCAATAAAAAACATTGTTGTTTAACATTAGATTCAGTGGGCTCAAGAAAGTCACTTTAGCCTTGTATTTACTCTTTTTACCGAAAACCCGGCTACTCAATCGGAAAAACATCTGAGTAACCGATTATTGGCCGATTTGACATCCTTCTTACTAGTACTGTAAACAGAATTCAATAAACTGTCACTTAGGCCAACATTTTATTATTTACTGTTTTACGGGAGCGCCGACCCTAATTTGGGATAAAATGAAATAAAAATAAAAGTCTCATCTTCAAGTTTTATTTTTGTTTCTCCCGCCGATAGCTTATTTATAGTCACTGAAAAAATAAAAGAAACGTCAACAAAATTTTAACAAGCCTTTCAAAACGTGAATTGTCATTGGCTAAAGTAAATATATCCATCCAATCACAGTTGGCAAAACTAATGAGCATGAATGTGAAGCGTGGATAGCCACTGCACAGCATGAAAGTTAGCGGCAAAATGTCAGAATCGTAGGGTAATTTTTTAAATGCACCCAGTCATTTTAAAAATTGACATGACATTTATTAGAAAAAAAGCATTAATTTTAGATTAACTTTTAATGAAAGACTGAATAAAATAGACGAAATAGTAATCTTGATCAAATGTTACGCGGAGGGCCACGGCACGTGGAATTTGGAAATTGAGGTTCTGTCAACCCCTTGTTTTGGGAGGGTTTAAGTACGTATTATCTTTGAAAATTGTTTAAAAGCATTGAAATATGGCTTGAAGATTATTCTTTAACTTATTTTTAATACAGTAGTGTTTTCTTTTACTTGTAACAAGAGAATAGAACACTGTAGAAAGTGATGTGACTGAGGAAATTCGAATCACAACTTCCACTCGTTATTATAATGTTAATCAAACTTATTACGATTCAAAATGGAATTTTACTTGCTATGTAACAAATAAATGCACATGAGGGGGGTTATAACAGCTCTTTCCTTGTAAAACAACCTTTTTACCACTAGGGAAAAACAAAGCTGCAAATAATACGTCCATACAAATATGACTTCTTTTTTTTATTCAAAAATTGTGGATTAGAACCAGCTTTTAGAAATATACGAATTCTGCAGTAAACAGAGTAATTTTCATAGTCTATTTTACATGTATATACTTATGGTATTACATGTACGTGCATTTTCTACAATCATGTACTTTGAAAGTTATAGCAAATGGAGGCAATTTCAATATGTTTTCAAGAGACAAGATACATTTTATCCACCTACCGGTATGTGTATATTAATTTGAATGCATTGAAAAAGATACTCAGATTTTCTTTTAATTATACTCTCACTTGTGAAATAATTTAACCAATCCATTAAAAGCCTCACTATATGCTTGCCATATGATAGCTACTCAAAAATTCTAAAATCTTATTACTTTTGAATACCCCATAATTATGATAATATTGTTTTGCATGCATTAATTTTTCAAATAACACCCTTTTTCTACCAAATTTAGGCAATAAGACAATTCCATTCTTAATTTAAAAAATAAAAAAAATTGTTACATTTGTTTATTTCATTTTTATTTTTCTGACCGACTGCTTGAATTTGAAAGATTTTATTTTTATTTTTATTTCGACCCCCCGACTCAAATTTTTGAAAAAAATTCCCGTAAAACAGGAAATAAAAAAATGTTGGCCTTATAAACATTTTTGAAGATTGCATGAATTTGTGAAATTTGTGAGTTTTGGACCCACATGCTTCCTTAATATTAGAGAGATACTCACCGCCTTAATTTTCTTGACAACTTCGTAGATGAAGATGAGGGAGATGACGATGGTGAAGATTTCTTCGGTGAAGCGAGTGATGTGTTTGACAAGATAGCTGCCTTCTAGTCCAATCACAACAAAGGTAATTAACATGACCCACAATCCTATCCAAAACCGCATAGGGAGAAACTCAATCTCATAGCTAGTACAAAACTGAAAAAAAAAAAAAAGAATTCAAATTAAAAGAAATTTACTATAATACCATGTCTTATTTATGAAAAAGACTCAAGAAGGTTTCGTGATCTTTTGTAAAGCCCTTTTTAAAATGTATACACAAATTAAATTATCATTTGAATTAAAAAACCACATATACATTGCCAGAATATTCATGCAATAGATGATGACAATCATGAAGTCAGGTAAAATGAATAGATCTAGGTTTCTTGCTAAGGAAAACAACTACACTACACTAACAAATAATTACTGTATCTTTTGTATTCTACCCTCAAGGAGGGGGTCAAAAATCATTAGAGTAACATTCCTCTAAGAATATTGATACAGTACACAATAACAGATATATGTCTTGTACCCTTTTACATAAGCTTGTTAAAACATAAAGTATTTAAAATTTAATTTTGCTTTAACTTGAATAAAATCTAATTTTGAAAGCTTAAAAATAAATACTTTACCTTTTCTATTTACATCCTTTTATGTTGTATAAATATTATTCAAAAATATTTCATTTTTTATTTTAAAGAGCCTTATTCTGTCATGTTTCATTTTCTGTCAAGAGAGATAACTCCTGACAATCTATATCTGAGATTTTTTTTTTACAGTTGTATGTAATGTTGAAAGCATATCTTAGAGATAGGACTGAATTCTCCTAATATAGGACATTTGCAATAGGAAGGGTTTTACTAATGCCCTGTTCACACGGAGAGTTTAATTCGAATTAAACGTAAAGTTACTGCGAATTAGCTTCGCTTAGCATCACACGGAGAATTTAATGCGAATTAGTTTAATTCGAATTAGTTTACTGCGCATTAAATTACTTCGCATAAGCTCCGTGTGAACGCTAAGCGAAGCTAATTCGAATTAAATTTTGAGGCATTCGTAATGGCAAAATTAGGTCAAATGCCACATGTCCGTGGTCAGCTTGAAGTATTTGTGCTATTTTTGAGTGAAAAACTAAGGAAAATTGTGTTAATCACTGAAATGTATGTATAGACACTGTAACATTCTGTCAAATACCTCTGCTCCTGCATAAGGTGACGTGATTTGCAAATGACATCATAATGGCATTAATAACACCTGACTGTAGAGGTAGAATTTTAATTCGCATTTGTTTACTTCGCATTTCCTGTCGTGTGAACGCAATTTAATTCGCATTTTTTTAATTCGCATTAGTTTACTTCGCATTAATTTACTGCGAATTAAACTCGTCGTGTGAACAGGGCATAAGTTGTAAGAACTTGTTACCAATCCCTTTGTATGAATTATACATTAAAATATGTTCAAACATTTGCAATAATAAAATCTTTAAAAAAATCAATTTAAATTACCTGATGCAAACATTTTAGGACAAGTGTATAAATACTTCAATTACTTAAAATACAGGTGAAATAAGAGGGTTGTCCAAGAAAAAAGCAAACATTTTTAATATCTTTTGTTTCACTAGGACTATAGAGTTAAAAATTGGCATACATCATGATCAACATTTTTTGAATGATGCCTAAAGGTTTCAGTGAAATATCTCTATAAATAAAATTTTCCTCTCATGTAAAGGAACCTATCAAATCAGCTGTCAGTGCAACACTGACGACGTCAAAACGTATCTCATAGTGTTTATCAATTTGTTCTGAAAACTGTGCCTCTTTAGGCCAAAAAAAATTAATCAATAGTTTCTCAGGCCAAAAAATTCAAAATTCAATGCGGCAGGCAGGCTTTTTTTTTTTTTTTTTTTTTTTTTTGAAGCAGGTTTTACACCTTTTTTTTAGCCATTTGTTCATTGAAATGATAATGTCTACTAATTCTTATTTTTTGTTCTCTGAAGTTAGTTATAATATGTTTTTAACTTTAAATAATGCTATTGTAAAAGTGGTTATTTACGCGTGGGGGAAATTTACACTACTTACGCGGTAAGCTAGAAACCGCGTAAAATACCCCCGCGCGTATGGTCACAAAATTTCAATGTTCTGGAATAATTCTAAATTATTACTTATACTGTTAGACGGGTTGAATCAGTCGTATATTTATCGTGGTATTGAACGCACGTGAATAGATAGATATATCACAAACTGTGATGAAAACATAACTGTTTATTGTTACTTGTGCGATGAAAAACGCATCTTCATATTTAGTATTTTTCAGCAACATCAGGCAATTAAAGCTTCATAACATCGATCCTCATTTTCATTTCCTTTGTATATTCGTTTATAGTTTTCTTAATTTCAAATGATTAGTCCAAAATGTTACATAAACTAACAGTCACAACTAACATACTTATTTAATTAATTGTAAAAACTCGACACGCAGATACAGGTAAGTAGATTTCACTTTGAAGTTTGAGCTTGCGTAAATAATTACAATAAAGCCTAAACCAGTTGTTCACACTTCACCGCATTTGACTGTACACATCGATATTTACAATCCAACAGTATAAATTCTTATTGATTAGTTTGTTTGTAATTATTTTTAATTTATTTTTTATAATTTTCAAAAAGGGAACAACCCGATGTTAGTTACGATATCGATGGCCGCGTAAATTTTTCTCTGTCACTCGTGCGACCGCGTATATTATACCCACGCGTAATGTTTGGCAGTCACAAACGCGTACTTAACAACCAGTGTGAATAACCACTTTTACAGTATTCTAAACATTTATTTAAAAGTTAATTCATAAAATATTGTAAATTTAGAAGAAATATATTGTTTTTCTAATAAAAACGTCTATCTTAGCATTTATGAAAAGGGCAATAACTCAATTTTCTTTTTCAACTTGGAAAAACAGAAAATCGAGTTATTTCCTTTTTCAATATGTCAATAAAATTGATCAATGCGGCCATTTTTGAAGTGATGCGGCGGTGCCTGAGAAACTATTGATTAATTTTTTTTGGCCTTACATATTCATTTTTATTTTTTAAGCACACATTCGGCAATGTATTTAATTTTGTTTTAGTTACCATATTATACATCTCAAATACTAGTTCTACTAAAAGATTGGGTAGTTAATTCTTTCAAAAGACAATTTCACATTCCCGATCATAAACCTATACCTGATGGAATAATTTATTTAAAGGCAGAGATTTTTTACCGGGTTGTAAATTCCAGGTGAGGGAGGGGCTTATTTTGAACAGGTGTGAATGCCTTGGGGGCTAGCAGACTAGCAGTCTACCTGTGGTCTTCTGTCTCCTAATCCCTATACACAGGAAGTGATTTAATACACAGTGAAATACCCCAAGTGTCAAAGAACAAGATAGGGTAAAACCAGTATTTGGCCACGATTTTGGGTGTCTTTCAGAATGATCTAACAGTTTATCCATAAAAAACTTTTGTCTCACCTGCCACAAATGGGTATATATTGGTTCTAAGATTTAGAATATACAGAGGTCACAATGAGGTCAGGAAATTGGTAAATTTTCGAAATATCTCATTTTTATGAATATTTTCATCGATTTTTCAGCACATTTTGTTTCAGAAAACATAGAGCACACACTTACCTATCTACCAAATTTATATATTTTATACATTAATATCAGATGCAGTTTTTGTGTAAAAATCTCAGATAGGCAAGCTTGTGCTCTACATTTTCCGAAGAGAAAAGTATCTCAAATATGATGAAATTCCACTAGAATTGAGTAAATTCTGGAAAATGTCTTACTTCTGCACCCTCTAGTAGCTTCCATGTAAGCTTTGAATCTAAATTAGTTCTTGTTTTAAAGTAAGCACCATTTTAACTTCTTAACTACAAACTATCACAATTTTACCAGTGTTCTGATTTTTACATCAAATAAGGGGCCAGATTCGGCCATTACGCTATCTTAATTGTCCTTTACCTGTATTGGGTTTTTTAGACGGTTTTAAATTAGAAGTTAAAAGTTGTAAGTAAAGTTTTTTTCTCCTTAATCTATATTGATTTATTTTTTAATGTTTGAAAACACCGCTACCAATTTAAAGAAAATTATTATGATATTATCCTAAAAATTCAAAAATAAATCAAAAGATTATTTAAGATGTTGATGTATGTGATATTAAAAAAATATCCAGTAACAACCAAAGACATTCATGTAATTCATTCATTTACCCAGGATCCCATTATTTAAATGAAAACAAGGTCATGTTAACTACATTTTATTAAAAAAAATATCTAAAAAAATTTTACTATACCATGTCTTATTTATGAAAAAGACTCAAGAAGGTCTTGTGATCTTTTGTAAAGCCCTTTTTAAAAATGTATACACAAATTAAAAAAATATTATCTGAATTAAAAAACCACATACTCATTGCCAAAAATATTCATGCAATAACTGATGACAATCCTGAAGTGTAAAATGTACAGATCTAGGTTTCTTACTCAGGAAAACAACAACACTACACTAACAAATCAATACTGTATCTTTTGGATTCTACCCTCAAGGAGGGGGGTCAAAGATTGGGTAAAATTAAACGTATTTTCCTACAGAAGTAAGGTAAATGTCATATGCCCTTTTCTATAAGCATGTTAAAACATAAAGTATTTAAAATTTGATTTTGCTTTAACTTGAGTAAAATTTAATTTTGAAAGCTTAAAAATAAATACTTTACCTTTTCTATTACATCCTTTTATGTTGTATAAATATTATTCAAAAATATTTCATTTTTTATTTTAAAGAGCTTATTCTGTTATGTTGCTTTTTTCTGTCAAGAGAGATAACTCCTGACAATCTATATCTGAGATTTTTTTTACAGTTGTACGTAATGTTGAAAGCATATCCTAGAGATAGGACTGAATTCTCCTAATATAGGACATTTGCAATAGGAAGGGTTTTACTAAGTTGAAAGAAATTGTTACCAATCCATTTGTATGAATTATACATTAAAATATGTTCAAACATTTGCAATAATAAAATCTTTAAAAAAATCAATTTAAATTACCTGATGCAAACATTTTAGGACAAGTGTATAAATACTTCAATTACTTAAAATACATGTGAAATAAGAGGGTTGTCCCAGAAAAACGCAAACATTTTTAACATCTTTTGTTTCACTAGTACTATAGAGTTAAAAATTGGCATACATCATGATCAACATTTACTGAATGATGCCTAAAGGTTTCAGTGAAATATCTCTATAAATAAAATTTTCCTCTCATGTAAGGGAACCTATCAAATCAGCTGTCAGCGCAACACTGACGACGTCAAAACGTATCTCGTAGTGTTTATCAATTTGTTCTGAAAACTGTGCCTCTTTACATATTCATTTTTATCTTTTCAAGCACACATTCGGCAATGTATTTAATTTTGTTTTAGTTACCATATTATACATCTCAAATACTAGTTCTACTAAAAGATTGGGGAGTTAATTCTTTCAAAAGACAATTTCACATTCCCCGATCATTAACCTGATGGATTAATTTATTTAACAGCGGTCTTCACGTAGACCTATGACGTCCCGCTCTTGTCTTTTCAGTTCGTCTTTATTTATGTGGTTTACTCTTCTATCGAATAACCACTCAAGTCACCCTGAAACCTCTTATACTAAATATAAACCTGTTCCCCATAGTTATGTTTATGTTTTTTCATCGTTTACATCTTTTTTTCTCTATAAACAGGAGTAATATCCCACTCAACATAACGTTGCTTGACAATTTGGTGCTCCACATTACTGCTTAATGTCACCATTTTTGACAATGTCTAATTCAAAGAGCGTTGGTATATATCATTGAATATTTGTCGTTAATGATGTTAAATAAATAAAATTCAAATACAAGTACACCTAATCATAGAATAGTTATGTAAGTAAAATTTTTGACATTATATTGCCATATAGCCTGATAACAACGAAAACTTCAATCCCAATATTATTTGTAGAAGTTAAATAATTGTTGTGCTCCGACCACCAATATTTAACATCATTCATATGACATCAGAGGCCTGTACTATTTTACCAGAATATCTAAAAGATTATTTCCCAACAGCATGCCAAAAATTATTAGTTTTGGTTGAATAGTATTTGAAATATTCAAAAAGTTAGCATTTTTCTGGGACAACCCTCATATATCATACTTGGTATAATGATTCCTCGAAGACTAAGACAGGCCCTGTGGCTCCAAGGAGCATCATTGGCTGAGCGGAGAACAAGCCGAACAGAACACCGCTGAGTGAGGTACTTATAATGGTCTCTGTTACTCCCATGTACTTATTGGTTTTCTCACCTATCAAAGATTAAGAAAGAATAAAATGGATCCAAAACAATTATCCAACACGAATTTTGTGCAGTCACAGATTTTATAAGGACTTGCACTATCAATAAAATCCATGCTTCAATTTTCAAATAGCTAGAGCCATAAAGGAAAACTTAGGATTTTAAACTATGATATCTGTAATTACCTAGAAGACCTCCAAAGGCAATTGTTGGTGATAAACAAGCAAAGAAAATAAAAATAAAAGATGCAACGCATTGGAAGTGGAGGGCATCCTTAAAATCGCTGAGATAGTGGGGAAAGCGTCGCTTCACGTCGTTGACTAGTCCCCCAAACAGGCGCCCCGTTCTCTTCAGTGGATCCAGAGGAATTTTATCTTCCTCCTCCTTCTTCAACAGAGCTGTAATAGGAAGAACATTTATATTGACTACTTAAGCTCATAGATGTTCACACCATAGCAGTGGAAAAAAGTGTGGAAAAGTGAGACTGATATCAAAAGTGAGCTTGTCTGTTTTATAGCCACGGGCCTGGTTATTTCTGGACAAAATAATGATCAATAAGTTTATTAAATGTTGTTCCAGCAATGATGAAAAATGTATATGTATGCATAATTCTAATACATGTACATGTATGAACTGCAGAGAGACTTCAAAGCTGAAGCATAACATCAGCCCTAAGGTAAAACTTTCTCCTGAGTTTCACAAATGGACTAACTAAACTACCTGAGATTTATAGTGTAGTGTATAGTAAACTGACCTATTTTCTCCTCCTCTTTGTGTTTCTTTCTCCTCATGGCCCGCGCTTTCTTTCTGGCCATGTCCATTATTGGAAGGAGGGTCTTCTGATCCCAGTCCCCGGGGGGAAGGACAATGGACTCATCCAAAAATTCGTTGATAGCATGAAGCAACTCATCCCTGCTAATAGCTTTGTAGGCAATGTCATGAAAATGCTGAAAAAATCAGAGATTTTTTAACATTTATAGTATTATATTAGTTCCTATTTCATAATATTTTTTTTTATATGCAAACTCATTATTTACTCATATTTTTGTCCATTTCACTTAATAATGTAATTTAAAATCATACACAAAACTGCATCCATATAAAAAATATTAAACTTTCCATATTCTGAAAAAAATACTGCTTGTATAATCTTATTCTAGGTTCATCATGTTTTGAAATTTCTGACAAATTAAAAAAAATACCTGATTGGCCATAAGTGTAGAAATGGAACGACCAACTTCATGATAGTCCATGGCGTTTTCTGGACCCAGGAGTACGAACAAGAAACGGACAGGAAGTGGGACTTCCGTCAGATTATCCAGCACCTGACCCTCGGCTAAACGGACGAACGCCATGGCGGGCTTAGCGAGGTAGTCCACGCAGCCCACCAGTACCGTCAGCGCCTCAGCGTCCTTGGGAATTCTCCTCATGATGTCCTGTATGTTCTTCTGTCGACTCTCGTTAGTTGTGATCCCGATGTGTACCCCATCAGCATGCTATAAATAACAAGTGTGCATGTTGAATTATTTCACCATATAATGCATTACATGTACATATTGTAGTATGTTTTCTCAATACTCAATCACAACCAAATTATTATATATTTGTGATTTGTTATATCCATATAGTGCATGTAATTACATATTTCAATGTTTTTGCATTTAACTTTAAAATTATTTTTTATACAAACATGTAGGCAGTCAAAATATCTACCGAACATACCATGTTATTGTCTACATTGACTTTGACAAACTCTAGGTTTTTCACTTCGTTGTTTTTGGCTTTTTCTGCCGCTTCCTTTTCCTTCTTTATCAGTGTTTCAGTGGGAGTGTCTGCCATTTTGTCTAACGATGCAGAGGAACGAAAACTGGCAGAGGTCAGGGAACGTCTCAAGGACAACTTTTCTTTCTGATGTCTGAAATTGTGGGCATTAAAATTCTTAATTCTGTAGACCTTGCAACCTAAAGGTCGAAAGGTTAACTTTTTTGTTTTTTTCTGTTAAGGAAAAAGTTTTATAAACAAGTTCTTGTTTTATAACAAGCTAATAATTATAATTACAATTCCAAGCATACAGAAAATTAGTTTGCTTTATTGTTATGAAAGTTAAACAAGATCCATGTTAAATCATATCTTTGTATTCATTTTTATAAATATTAATTTCTATTGAAATATACATATCTAAAGAGATACACAATGAAGAATATCTAACATAAATTCGGCCTTGTTTTGTTTCATACTTGTGAACAGGTGCGTCAAACACAAATTAAGTAAATCTGACATAAAAAAGAAAAGGACCTGTTAAAAATGCTGTTTTAATAAAAAAAAGTCACATCAAACAATCATGCAACATGCAAGGGAGTATCAACAATTTGAAAATCATGCAATACAGCATAAATAATAAAATATATAACAGCGTAGAAAGAAGAATTTTGATCATGCACGTTATTGTCAGAATTATTCAATAGTTAATAGAAAAACACCTTTTTTGTCTCCCACCCCTTTGATAATGTGCATCAGCTTTCTGAATTAACTCTCACGACCCCATCCCACATCTACATGACAGAGACTCGACAACTACTGTGGGCCTAGCCTAATCTAACACCAGTTCCTAATGACTAATGACCAGTCTATTTGTCACTACCACACAAACACTGATAGGAAAATTATTTCCATGGAGGCTAGTAATCGAATGTATGAGGAGATTTGTTATTTCAACATGATTATTTTCACACTGCAAGATTCTGGAAACATGTTAAAGAAAAATGCTGGATTGAAATCATGGGATGAATTTTAGAAATTTTTGCTCTACATTAAATGCAAATAAATTCTTATGAAGCTCGACACAAATATGGCATTAGATAAATTGTGTTCAGCATGTATAACCTTAAATTTACCGTGCCCACACATAGAAAAAGCCACTGGACATTATATAAGTTTACAATGGGTAAGTAATCAAGAGTATAGTTACTGGTACACTGAAAGCAAAAGGAAGGGTTGTGTCCACAGTATCAACAAATATGTTAGAGAAAATGTTATCAAAATTATAAACACATATCCTAATAAATCTACCATCACCAGAGACTTAGAGATCCCTGCAAGTTAGAATTTTTAGTTGTTACGTATGGTGATGTACTAAACACGTGACAAACACAGATGACTTAGTGCTGGTGTGGACTTGTTGTCCTGGACGGACTCAGGACCCTCAGTAAGAAGACAAAAGAGGTATGATTATAAGCTACAGTCAGGATGATACAGTGTAAGCCAAGTGATGGAGCTACATCTGGGTCTGACACAAGTCAAGGTTTCTCTGTAAAACATATTTTAAGTCAAGTTTTTTTCTTTAAAGGTTTGAAGTCGAGGGTTCTCTTTCAAAGGTTTGAATTTAAGTAAAATAAATCTTTGCAAAAAAAAAGTAGATCTGCATGCTTTCAGTCTGGAACACATTATTCAAGTGTGGTATTTAAATCACAAAAAGGGATTAATTCTATTTATATTTAATATACCATATCTCTCTTCTACTGATCAAAGTTATTTCCTTTTGGATTTTTCTATTAAATTTCAGGAAATCTATGACTACAGTTTCAGTAACAAGAGCAAGCCTAAGATATGATTTCGTGTTCTTCCTGAATGTCTTTCAAAAAGATCTTTGTTTATTTGAGCCAATTTTTAAAACGTTGGAAGATCCTGATTTTTTCTTTCCACTTTTATCTATTGGCTTCTGTTGGACCAATAACAGCTAGCCTACAGTAAATGTTTACATCTAATCTTATTTTTTCATCATTAACTACTAAATGCCATGGTATTTTTCTTTACCTTGTTATTAATATAGTACATTAGCACAGACACTTATGCCTCGCATATAGTGTGATTAGTAACATACCTACGGTAAGTTTTTTTTAAAATTAATTATCTTTGTATTACTTTGTTATTTATAAAGAAAACTATCTCATATATTGGTCCATGAATCTATAAGTACACATCATGAGTCAGATTTCCAAATACTGCATGCATGCAGGCTTATTTTAAGAATTCTTCAGTTCTTGATCTATTTTGCCCCTTTATAATATCAGGAAATATTATATATTAGAACAGCATTATTTTTGCTCACGATTGATGAATAAAATAAAAATAAAAAAATATAAAATGTATATATAATAATTAACACACACAACAATAAAATGTAAGGAGCCAAAAATTATGATAACTTCAAACCCTTTTTCCAGTACATATAGCTACATAAACAATTTTTTTAGCTGTCAAAATTAGTGATTCTTGTCTATAAAACAGAAGAAAATAAATACATGTATTTCTATGGAAACCTTGACAATGAAAGACCAGATGACAAAAAATGACTATAATAATAACATCACCAATAAAAACAAACTAGAGAATATGAATATTAGTAACCATGGCAACATATAACTCCACCCTTGACCCTAGGGCAGCCATGTTTTTTTTTTTGTTTGATGATATAGTACAACCTTTTGTTGCTGCTGTCAAGTCCGCTGAGATTCATGTAGGAAATGTTGCGACGAATAAAAGTGTTCAATTTGTCTCCGACATGTCTGAAAACAAGGTAACAAGACCAAAGATGAAGAACCATACTGACTTAATTATTTTCCTAGCTCTATCCCTTTTTATTCTAGTCCACCTATCAAGATCTTTGATCCTCCCTAGCTGTTGTGGTTTTTAGAAGTTAAAAAAAAAACTTGTGCCTACACACATGTTAAGTGAAAAGCAAAAAAACCTTAGTCTTGTCATTTTATTCTAATAAATGCAGTACATGAAAACTAATGAGTTTACATTTGTAAGCAGTTGGATTCCGCAGAGAGTACACATTAGTTTTACATTCTTCAGTGACTGTTTTGATGATGGGAAATACAGACAGACATACATGTATATGACATGCCCAAAAAATCCACCACAAATCAATTCTTAAAAAATCTAATATTTTGGCCACTGCCTTGATATGAATTTCATGCTTAAAAGCTGGTACATGTATTATACATAGGAAATAAGTTTGTAACTGTAATTGAAAACACATTTAGAAAACAACAATGCATTACATTTTAGTTTCACAATTACAAAGTCATTTGAAGCTGTAATGAGTAGATGTATTGTACCCACACATTACTTTTGATTCAAAAGACTTTAAACTGTGCAAACAACCGCACCCCAAAGAGAGCAAGTTCTGTTGTTTTATCGAGTATATTTCATAGAAAAAGAATTATCCACATGCTTTAACATTGAAACCAATTATCACATCATAGGAAAGAAAAGGAAAGGTAAAGAAAATTTTAAATAACATTTTTCCATTTCAATAAAATTTTTTGAATTATTTGAAACAACAACAGTACTCCATAGTGTCCCACACGAAAAAGAAAACTTTAGAAACAGCCAAATCGCAACATATTACAGTTGCTCATAGCCAAAGCTGATTTTAACTGATTTCTTTTTACCCAAAATTTCATCTGTTTTTTACCTATGTCTGATAAATTAAATTTTAATCAGATTTAAGTTCATCATGATATATATTTTTCTTTAAAAATTTCAATTGCATGGAGAACAGATCATACAGCAAATCCCACTCACTTCTGAACATACCCTACTAAAAACACTCAGAACAACACTTGACATAAAAGTTTCCTGAAACTTTCACACAATATATCATGCTTCTTTGTCAGATTTAACGCAGCATATACCAACTACAACTTTCCCAATCATGAATTTATTTGAAATCTTTTTGAAACAATTTGTGCAGTCAAATCCTCAAGAGAAAATAACTATGAATCTAAAAATACTCATGCTCAAATCTCTCTTAATCTGCATCTAATTTTACAGACATAGAATGCCATTAGATAAAAAAAAAAACATTCATAATCAAATCTAACACATAAAAAAGTTTAGTCTTAAAATTTATTTTTAAAACACACATGCGTTTAGTTTGAAAAGTTTTTGAAAATAATTTTTTGTATCTTAAATTCCTGACTACCGAAGAAAAAACTGTAATTCCTCTTTCTAGAGTTCTACTGCCCTTTTTTACTCATGCAATATATAAATGTATCCCAAATAGATATATCACTAATTCTACAACATTTTTCCTCATTCTAAAATACTTGTTCTCTTATATAGTGTACCTAATATACTTTCATAAACTCTCCCGAATATATATACACAATTTGTGCAATAAGCTTCCTAAGAAGCATTGAATACATACTTATGCTTCATGAGGAGCGTTTTGAGGACCTTGCCTTTGTCCTCACTCTTGATGTGGTCATGAATAACCATGTCGTTCACCACATATGTTACAATACTGGGGAGGTCCTCAGCCTCAAGGTCAAGGATCATAGTACCTACAATTACATTAACGAATTAATTATCCTCATTTTTAACAGGGTTTCAAATTTTGTCAGAAAGATTCCAGTCAAAAAATTGCTCCATTACAGTTTTGAAAAAATTATATTGATAGAAATCAGTTTAAAAGCAGAAGAAAAATTCACATAAGTTCCTTTAGTCAATATAACAAATGGTTTTTCTTTCCAAAATAATAAATAACACATGTACAATTTTGTACATGTACTGCAACATTAGATTACTTGTTAATCAAATTTGTGTTTATTTCTATTTTCCTTTTTTTGTTTATCTACCAAAAATCAGGACAAAGTACATGTCTCTATAACATAAAAATGAAGAGAAAATATGAAGCGCACATAAAAAACTTTTTTTATGTATATAGAAAACAGAAAAACAGAATCTTTGAGTTATATTAGAAGCCCCTGTCAATAAAACATAAAGATGAAACCATGACAATTAATCATGGACTGCAGCTAATGTTACCGTTTTCCAGGCCCCGCCTGAGCTCCAGCAGACTGTGGAAGGACAGGGACGCCACGTGGGGTTTGCCCCACCGCTCTGCCCCTTCCTCCACATCCTCCTCAAACTTGATCCACCGAGCCTTCTCTCTCCACTCGTACTTCTCTTCATCTCCGTACAACTCGTCTAACTCCACAAACACCTGTAACACAGACATAAAGGCATTAAACAATTCAAATCTGTAGATACTAAAGTTACAAGCTGATAAACTTAAAAATCAAACTATAACATACTCAAGCAAAATCTAATTTTTATAAAGTTAGTTATAATATGATGAGGAAAACTGCAATTAATAATGCCAAAACATACATTTAACAGGGCTCAAAAGACATTACAGAATTTTATTTATTATTATTATTCTTGTAGAGTATTCGATTTGAGGGTTGTCACATGGTAATGTAATGTACCGTATTTGGCGGAATATAATACACACTTTTTTCCTAAAATAAATTTCTGTGAACCACAATGGGATTTTGATAACTTTTTCTTTCAGGTGAAACATGGTTAACATACGTACATACCGTAACACTACCTAGAGACATATGCAATTTCTTTTGTTTATCGCCATATTTTCACACATTCACGTTCACACATTCCTTTGCCACATGCTTCCGTAATCACAGAAAACATGTACCTTATCTGCCAGAAAAAGTAATAAGTCGTTTTTTAAATAACTCAGGGAAAATTCAATTCAACATACACATCCTTCTGTATGTCCCAATGAAAGGAAGTCAATGTTGTGAACATGTGCGCTTGTCACTTGATAATTCTCTCAACATCCCTCCGGGCAATTAAATTGTCTACCGACTCCAAAGCATTGTTTTAACAGTTAGAGCTGTCCTTTTAATTGCTTTGATTATCTTTGTTAAAAATTTGGGTCGGTTTGTGACCTTTCGTATGTAAGAGCATGTCATTGTGTTGATTACGACACATTTACAATTAAACGCTTGTTAAATGTAATTTTACTTTAGCTTACATTTATCGGCCTCTTGATTGAGAGCTGACAAATGAAATATGAATTATGCTAAAACTTAAGTGTTATCATTTATTCGTGCTCTGTAGAAAATAAGATATCCACGAAGATTCAGAAAAGGAAAATCATACTCTATTAATACTTTGATGTTGCAATCTCGTGTTCTGTTAAAGTAACATAATTTTCAGCATGATTACCTATAACTAAAATTAAATATGACAACTGTTAAAACTTGCAACAATATCTCATGCTTTGTTGAAATAAAATTACTTCACCAAAGAATATGGTGACATATTATTTCAAAATCATCTTATGCTTAAAAACAAATAATAATTAACTCTGTTAAAAACTTTTACGCAACATTATCTTGTGCTTTGTTGAAAGAAATAATTTTCTCCAGATTGCCACGATATGGAAATTCAGGATTAAGAGAAAATTATAAATGTATTTGAAAAAAAAATTGTGTGCTGTAAATTTTTGATACTTAATCTTCGTGCCGATTTTCAAAACAAATTACCGTGATTTTCAAAGTTCAGAACATCACTAGGTAAAATTTTCTGTTAAATATGATACATCCAAACTGCATTTTTTCCCAAGTTACAGGTTCAAAAAGGGGGTGCGTATTTTACATCAATGCGTATAATATTCAGCCAAATACAGTAAATAGTCGAAACGTGCAGTACGAGTCATTCTACTGCTTGCTAGAAAGCAAGGTAATTCAAGGGCTAGTAAATTAAATATGTAAAGAGAACTTAAAGGGCTTGGAAATTAAAGAAATATTAAGATTTCAGTCAGTGAAAAACCTATGAATGAAATATTATGAAAGAATAAAAGAGTAGTGTAAATATATGTAATAAAATGCTCTAGCAAGCAGCATTTCTACATTTATGATTGTTTGTTATCTTTAGAGTACAATTAATTTATATTCTGACGAACAAAGCGAGAGAGAATATAATGGAAACATACTTCATGAGGCCGGTGGTCAAATTTTTTCTTTGGTTGGAACATCTTGTGTTTGGTTTTCTTGTGTTTACCGATGTGGACAATAGAGGACATGGCACTGTGGTTCTTTGTCAGTCGATGTCGCCGGATTCCATGAAGTTTGTCCAATCTGTGACCTGTATACAGATTATCCCAATCACTTATCATCAATAGCATTATTCCATCCCCCTCAAAAGTCCCTTGTACAGAATCCCCAATCATTCAGCATCAGATATATGTTCTATCCCCCCTCCTTCAAAGATGTAATCATTTCAGTCCTTTCATTTTTTTAAATCTAATGCATTGCATAGGCTTTGTATTATGCATATCTTGTATTGCCCCCATCAGCCACTAGAGTAAACCTAAGACTGTACTTACTGGCCATCTCGTCAAGGTCGGCTTTGTGTAACATCTGAGCCTCGTCCGTCTCTGTGGGCTCACTCTTAACCACCATATCCAGGTGGACCTCGCTGCCCTTCTGTCGCCGTAACAACAAGTCCTCTGTCTTGTAGTGGTCATGGTGGCGTTTGTGTCGATGCGACTTGGTTGACCTAAACATAATACATCATTCTGAACATTTTCTTCATCAATTTACATTGCTCATCAACTTGGAGAATTATTCAGTAAAAAAAAAATGGAATACTTGTGTGAGCTGATTATTCTTCAAAACCATTTTAGTTAACCCCCATAATTTCAAACTTTAAGTTTGTTGGGGATTTAAAATTACAGAAAATTACATAAATTGAGTTACATATTTAATGTTTGAAGAATGTTCTCTTATACATAAGGCAAAAAAAACCCCACTTACTCCTCCTTTTCCTAATATCTTAACTAAGTTTAACTATTCTTACTTAACAAAATTAAAAATATTGGAGATAAAAAAAACTTTTTTCAGGCATTTGAAGTGACCTACTTTCCACTGCCTGTGGAATGAAATGACGCCCTGCTTCTCTTGTTCTGTGATTGGTCCGAGGACACAGATTCCGTATCTCCCTTTAAACTCAACAGATTGGCTGCACTGTCTTCACCACCTGAAGAAATAACTTGGCTTTCAATTCTCTGTTTTCTGTATTTCAAAATTAATTGGAAAACTGCACCAAAAAATCTACACATGGATTTTCCACTTTTTTAACTTATTTAGACCTGCAAATTTAGATAACATAATTTGCAAAAAAATGAATAATGTCAATTTCTAATTTTGATTTTTATTATTAACTGACTTTTGAAATCGGGCCATCATTAAAAATATTTTTGTTTGATGTACTCTGACCCACATTTTTCAAGATGCGTAGGTAGGTAGTTTTTTTTTGGCTTAACAGTATTGATCAAATTGATTTTTAACTTTTATAAAAAAAAAAATAAAAACTCAGAAAATTATTGATGTGTTCAATACACACTGGGTAGCTAGACAGATTTAATATTTATTGTTATAAAAATTTTCAATCTTAAAGCATCCAAGAGAATTTATATACAGCGTTAAAATGATACAATCTCTTTTTCTAATAAAACTGAATTTTTAAAAAAGTATTTAAAAATTCAAAGTGCTGAAAAAAATGATTGGGTAGGGGCAATTTTGTTGGATCGGTCAGAGAGCATCAAACAAATAATGGGGACATTACCGACGGAAAAATGCACTCGACTTCTGCCCTCATCCAGCAGTGACCTTGAACTTCCCGCTGGTTTACGCTGGGCTTGTTCAGACAGAAGTGGTTCTTGTTCAGTATTCCCGAAGTCTAGCAGCTGGAAGTGGTCTTCGGTGGTAGATGAACTCTGACTCAGCACCTCATTAAAGGAGGAGGGGAATGGCTTCTTCTCCACTGAGGGTGTTAAATCCCGGGGTGGGGACGATTCATTCTCACCAATGAAAAAATCAGCAACCTTAAAAAGGGTTAATGAATATATTTCATAATATATTTCATAGATAAGACTAAAGAAATACAATAACCGATGATTGGTTTCTCACTCTATATAAATATATACCTATATATTATCACTTATCTAAATTTAACTTTCAAAAATAAAATACAACTAAGTAACAGAAGCCTATTGTACCTTTCTATCAGAAGGTTTTCTTTCAGGTGTTCTAGGAGCCTCTAACTGAGTAGAGGTAGGAGAGGGGGTTGGAGGTTCTGGGGGCACATCTCCCAAAGCCTTGTCAAGGTCAACACTTGAGGAGGGTTCAAGGTCACTTTGTTCCTTAATGACTAGAGGAGCGTCCACCAAGTCCTGACTGACTGAGCTGTTGCGGCGGCTGATCGAGGAATCACTTGATGAATCGTACGAAGAACAGTACTGTGCAAATGAGAAAAAAAGATACGTTACAAAAATAAGTATTTCTTCTGTATCAGAAAAGTCAGTTATCTCACTGACAAAAAATACAATTTAAGCAAAGATTAAAACTTTAAAAATCATTTGGGTTTCAAATTTCTTCAGTTACTCAATCATTAATAAATGATCATTTGTTAATACAGAAAATTTCTTAATCAATCATTCTGCTTTATAAAAAAAAGTCCCATCCGATCAATACACATTTCATCACTTAAAAACATTCATTAATAATAAATTTGTCGTATCATATAAAAAAAAAATCCAAGCCCCCTCTTGTACCTCATCTTCGTCGTCCTCTGGAATTGGGGGCGACTGTACGGCAGATTTGGAGGGGAAGCTCTTGTTGACGTGCATCCGTCTCTTCTTCTTCTTTTTCTTTTTATGGTGCTCGGAATGTCGGACATTTTTGTGAGATTTGCTTCTCAGGGGCCTCAAAGGGTGATGGATATGTGGGAAGGAATTACTTCTATGGCCTAAAAAATTCAATGATACAGTAAAAAGAATTTTCAAATTTTAATTGAGTGCAGAGATCAATTACTGCACAGCTAAAATCTTTACAAATGCATGCAGTAGATTTTATTTAACGTGTCTAAGTGGACATGTCTTAATTCAGTAAGCAATAGGTTGCAAATGCCAGACTGCTGTGACATATCATTACATGTATCAAATAATAATCTAATGAAATAGTAAATTCTCTAAAGCAATTTTAACTTCTTTACTTTATAATTGATAAGAAATTGTCTCTTTATTTATTGCAATATATATTACCTTTTCAAAATGATATAACATATATTCCTTTAAAAATTAAAATACAAAAAAGCTATTGCCATGCAGTTAAGATATGTGTTTTGGTTTCTTTTAGAAATATATGTTCCTTTCATTTCCGTAAAAATCATGCTTTGCAATATCTGCACATCAAGTTGATAACTGAACATCAGAATTTGTTATAATCAACAGTCCTTTGTACTGGTATATAAACTTAAAAGTTCAGAAGCATAAAATATTGTTATTTTTCAATTCATTAGAAGATATCTGGTTTTCTTTCATGTCATCCAGCCATGCAACTTAATTATGTTACAATACTTATTATTGGTCATTAAAAATGATGACAATGGCAAATCATGACAATGGAAAAGGCTTGTGAAAGAAGCTCATTTTAGGAATGAATTTGTTGTTTAGGTATGAGATGGACCTGATTGTTTTGTTCCATCACTTACTGCTGAAATCATCCTCAGTGTACACCATAGCGTCCTTAGCTGGAATCACACGATCTCCATCCCTTGATGTCACATGTTCTGATGCCAACAGTTCTGATCCCGCAGATAAATCTGTGACATCAAACTTGGGATATTTCTCAAATATCTTCTGTACATCGTCAAATAAATCCACTATGTGGTCGAGGGAATGATCCTGGCGTGGCATATCTGGGGCCGTGGGGGAACGTGTCAAAACCCCTGGGGAGGAATGGGAATGTTCTCCGTCTAATTCCTGGGTAGCATTCAGCAGAAAGGAGGTGGAATTGACTTGCCTGGGACCTGTGGATTGGTCCCGATTATAATTCTACAATGAGAAACAGACCTGGTCACTAGGGCACTGGGAGTTGTATGGGAACAATGAATATTTATGGAGAATTATTTCTCTGCTTAATTGGTTTGTCTGCTTTTTGACACAATTAGATTGTATAATAACACAGAAAAAATTTCATTCCATGTCACAAACAGCACCTGAAAAAAGTCCTAGCTAGCATTTAGATTGAAAATCATGTCATTTTTTTGATCGAATATCATATTATCAAGATCAGCTGTTCAAAAGTTGAATCATGCCACCATAATACAGGTACCATCAGCTTAAATCTCATGACATTGTTTTTTTTTCCATCCACACAGACATCTTTTGAAGATTGCTAAGTTGACAAAAACCAAATCTACCATTTCCCTCCCACAGCATTAAAAGTTAAATTCCACTGCACCGTTGATACAGCTTAGAAACAAGCCCTTGAGTAAACCAAACTTCAGCAGGTATTGCTATAAAAAAGTTCCTAACCTTAAGATAAAAGGGCACGGAACCACTTTAGACTTAATTTTCACCTAATAATGAACTTTATATGGATAAAATTAGTCCACTCATTAAACATTTATAGGTAACTGTCGACATTTGTAATACACATGAATTTGTAATGAGGTCTTCCTTGTCATATATGTATAACTAAAAATAATGGATAATGTCATGTCACCTTTATTCCTCATGTACCGATCTCATTTGACCCAATACATACATCCTATCATTCTAAGATCATAATATTGCAAGGAGGATTCTTTTTACAAGTGTTCCAAACAAGGGAGGTGTCCAAAACTATATCCAAATCACAAACAAATTTTTTTTCAAACTTCTTCAGCTAGTTGAATCAGCATTAATTTACCTGACGGTAATCCATGTCTAAATGTTTTAACATGTGTAAAGTAAATCATCTGTGTATAAATTAGTGTTACACCTCCCAAAAGCCTGTTACTCATCTGCACAGCTATTGTTCACAATTTTTTGCTCAAAATATTTCTACAGCATGTTGATTTCTATTCTAAGACACAAAAAAAAAAAAAAATAAAAAAATAAAAAAATGTGAAGTCTTACCTACAAGATTCTTATTCCACAGTCTCAAGTTTGCCTTAGAAAATTTCTATTTTCAAATTTCACTTGGCTAATAAATTAAAGCTGCCACAAATGACTCTTTTAAACTCCTCTGACTTCTAAAGATCACTGAAAATTTACTGTCCAACAAATAAGTTGATATACAGCATAAATTGTCGCACAAACGAATTTATGTCAATTTCACAAACACACTGTTTGTTTCACCTGTGAGACGTCACCTGGTTAAAATGAATGTAGAAATAAAAAAAAAACAAATTCCGAAGGGCACACCAAATAGCTGCTTCCGTAATTAATCATCTAATTAATTAAGTTTACCTTGATCTAATAACAAGGTAAGCATTATATTCTGCTAATCAGTTATACACCAATGGTGTCTCTTTACTAACGTGTTTGTTCACAGCTGTACTTCTGAGGGTCCCGTACATGTAATAGTACGGCACTTTTACAAATGACTGTATATATACATCTATACAAGTTTTCCTTCTGCAGAAATAATTAGTTTATGAAGGTGATTCACTGACCAAGTTTACAAGCAGACAAGCAGTTTAAGGTGCAATGACTCCAGGTCAAAGCCTCTAAGATCTAGATCTATGCAGTATGCATAACACATGGGTCAAGTCATAATGCTCTACAAATGATTATGGTTATTTTTATCTCGGGTAGTCTATATTTAGTAAATAAAGCCACAATGCATTGACCTGTCGATAATTATCACAAAACCTGCTATTTTTCTCTATTTATCAGATAATCAGCGATTTAAATAGTCAATATTTCTAAGTGAATGATTTTGAATTAAGATTATATTGACAACAATACACAAGAGTATAGGACACTGTGTGTTTACAGAAAAACATAAAATATTTAAAACGGACATAATAGTACAATTAAAACCTGTGTGTGAATGCCCTATATCTTGCTTGAAGCCTCTGTATAATTAGATTCTTACATATACACTCCCGGAACTCTTCCAAATACCTTCTCTGATCCAAATAAAGTTTCTTCCCACACAAAGACATTCATCAGAAAAACGCAAAATGTTAGGTATACAAATTAGGGGGCAATTACCTATAACACACAGAAGAGGGGAGGGTTAGAAATAAGCCAGACTTGGATGTGATGCCCTCCGCTGACTACATTCTTTGTGATTGGGAGATGGGGAGAATCATTGCTCTCTGGTTGTTAAGAGGTTGGGATCTTCTTTTCATGAAAAATCAGATTTCCTTGTCTAATACTTCAGTGACATGACTGTTTAGATTCAGAGCTTAAGGATTACCAATACAAAATCTTGGATTATCCATGTGATAACTAAATCATAATTTTATTTTACATCTTACTACTGTACAAATTTAAGCTGTACGTCATATTTTGTTCAGATTACCTGTATAAGCAATACATCATATTTAGATGTTCAGATTGTGTTACCATATAGATGATTCTGTACATGTCACAATAGAGAGATAATAAAGTATTAAGATGGAAGACTGGAGTCTTGTTAAAGTCTGTTAATCCTCAAGATTTAATTTAGGTACCAGTTAAATCTTGTTCATTTCATGAATTAAGGTACCATCAATAATACATCCATAAATGCAAAGCAGTCTATAGTGGCTCAGGTAGAACACACATATATTCAAGAAGAAAAGATCCTTGGTTTGAGTTTCAAGTGGATAATCAAGAAATAAATACCAATATGCAGAATACGAGGGTTGTTCGGAAATTATTGAGACAATTACATTTACTCCATAAAGGACGGAGATAATTTCATGAAAATTAATCAACATCTTTTAAAGAACGTCTAAAACACTTAAGGAAATTTTCTAATTCATAAGATAATTATATAAGTTTCTGTGAAGTAATAAATATGCATATGTCTATCGACCCGGAGCAGCCTCGCTACGTCATTTAACGTTACGTTAGCCGTAGATTGTTTCGCATGTGAAACGATCGGGAAGCGTTTAATACTCTTCCTTCTTTGTTATTACATATATAACATTACAAAAATCAAACAGTCTCTTTTCTTAAACTATTCTTTAAAAATGTATGCTGTTGCTACCCCATTCAAAAATTTTCATTTATGGGAAAGGACGACTTAGAATCATGCAGTGCCAATTTATGCAACGCGGGTTAAATACCGTAACGATATCAATACTGTATGTAATAACTCATGGTCGTCCAGATCTTTTAATTTTACTCTTGTTAAATTAATTGCTTAAAAATGTATACCAAGGAAATGACAAACCCTAACACATCATTTTTTTCTCTTTGTTATTGTTTTAGCAGGTCGTTCAGTCTTGAAAAGAGTTCTGCATTGCGCTACACAAAATTTTAGGTATGCTGGCTGCTCCGCCCTTGACGTCAAAATCCATTTTTTTCGTTGTAAGCAGATTTCTCTACCGCGCTTAATTTTTTTATGATCCCGTATTTCTGATCAAAATTCTATCAAAGTTGCACAACATGAATTTGAACCAAAGCTGAAAAATTATACACTTAAACTGAATTATTTTCGCTCTCATTATTGATCCACGAAGAGTTAGAATTTTGGGGTTACATATTTTCAATGTCTGATTCCGCGACTGCTCCGGGTACCCCTACTATTGACACATTTATATACCATTGTAGAGAAAATATTTAATATTTGTAAAATATTTCTTGCTCTTATTAATTTTTAGTGTATGTCAAACGTATATGCCAATTTTCACTGAAAGACGTTCATTAGAAAGCAAAATATACACAATGTCTCAATAATTTTCGAACAACCCTCGTATTATTTGGAAACTGAAATCAAATCCCAAGTTTTTATTTGCCAAATAAACTTTAAGACAGGAGTGTTTTTCTCCGAAATCCAAAAGTTCTACTACGTTCACTTCAAAAAGCATATTAAGGTATACAGAATATTTTTGGAACAGGCCCGGGTACATGTTGACCACACATTTGTGGTATAATAATAAATAATATTAATTAAGTGGCCACATAGAAGACTATGTCCTGTGGAAGTCTCCTTTTCATCACTGCAAGTTATCTCAGATGCAGCATGCAGGCCTATAGCAATGGTTTCAAAATTGGGGGGGGGGCAACTTCCCAAAAATTTGACAAGGAAAAACAAGGAATACACCTGTGAAATATAAAAGCCCTATTTCTAAATGTTCAACAGTTATGACCAAGATTAAAGTTTTTAAAAAGTGGGTCAAACTCTTGGGTCAAGGTCAAAAGGTAAAAAATATTTATACCAGGTGAAAGGTCTTGTCACAATGAATACACATGTGAAGTATGAAAGCCCTAGCTCCAACTGTTCAAAATTTTTAGCCAAGCTAAAAGTGTGTTTTTTTTTTTTGGTTTTTTTTTTTGTAAAAGTAGGTCCAACTCCAAGGTCAAGAGGTCAAATTTGATGTTACCCAAAGAAAGGTCTTGTCACAAGGAATACTAGCCACTCATTAGTTATGGGCTAGCTTAAAGTTGACAACAGACAGACAGAAAAACAGACAAACAGACAGACAGGACAAAAACAATATACCCCAGAGATCTTTTGATCCAGGGGCATAAAAAACCCTACCTAACTGTTCAAATTCTGGAATTTGCCAGTGCTTGACCTTACGGCAACAAAAAGTGGAAAAGGAGGGACCAACAAATAACATTTACAGTAACTAAAGCACACAGAAAAGTACGAGTATATATGTAATGCATCAACCACAAACAGATACTTACAAGGTCTTCATGGTTATCTCTTCCCAAGAAGGCCATAATGCTACGTCATAAATTGTCCCTCTGTAGGTAAAAATATCACATTTAAAGCACCGATTTAAATTTATATTCTAAAAATAATTTTTATGAAATAAAAATAAAAACATTGAAGTCCTTGAAATACCACTATCTATGTGACCGACTTATAGTCACATTGTTACATAACCATGGCAAGTGAACCATAAACATTAAACAATACATTTAACTCGGTGTGTGAATATGATTATACAATGTACTAAGTATAGCACACTCAAGATGTTTATATGCCTCATTTTGTACTTTTTAATATGTATCGGACGACGGACATACACATGTCTCTTTTTGTACTTTTTACTTTCATCTAATATTTATGATAACTATGCTTGGTCCCCATCGTTAATACTGAAGTATGCTCTCACATACCGTAGTAGCTGAAACCATCACCTATGAAACTTTATCATTTGACCTTCTTCCGTTTGAAGTCCTAGGCAGGCCTAGATTTATTACAGTTTACCATGTTATACTGACTTTACCAATCCTCCAGTTTCTATTGATTACAATTATTACAGCTTCTGACCGTGTATTCATTAATTTGCTGATCAGGAAATCCTATAGATTTTTTAAATATGAAACTTAATCTAATTACAAACAGCATGCAATAAAATCTCTCATACACAGGAGAACGACATCTAGGCAATGAAGATATTTATAATATTATGCAATGGCTGGGGCTAAGGACATATCAGAAGCTCAGACATTATTTTAACAATACATGATACTCCAACAAAGGTACAAAAACTAATAATGTTATTAATGGGCCTATTTAGGCAATAATTCATAATTTCCTACCTCAAACACACAGGGAAAAATCCAGAGAAAGTCAATACCCTATCAAGAATGAAACCAAATTCATTGGAGAAGGGCACGCTGTCCTATCATGACACCGAAATTCCTGATTCTCCACGAGGCACCCAAAAACGAAAATCTAAGTCAAAGTTACATTATAACCTTCCACTGGTACAAATCCAAACATAAAGTGAATTCAACATGTACCCACCTTAAAATCTTCCACAAGCTATTTTACCCTGTTTCAAATTATTCCATTTTTGCGAAACATAACTATTTACACGCAGTTAATGAACTGGTATATCTTGAATTGACTTGCAGTACAATTGACATACTTTTAAATCAGTTCGGTACTTATCTTCACTTTCTGATGTAGACTTGTTTACTTTTCAGAGCCAACCGAAACAAACAATATAGCTCTCTCTCCATAACCTTAACAAACAACAACTAATTCTGTCACTGAGTTTCACAAAACTGGGTTATCATTGTTTCAAGAGTCTAATAAATGAATCAATTACTTAACATAATTGAATTGTAGAAACTTCAAAAAAAAATTATCTAACATATTAAAGATAAATGCAAAAATATAAACAGCTAGATCACTGTGAACATATCGTGAGAACGCAATTTATTTCTTTCAGTATAGAGCTTTAGGTACAGACCCTATTGAATACAAGGTCTCCATTCAAGAATTATCTGCCGATTTAACCTAGGAGTTGGTTTCCGAGGTAGGAAGCATCCAGTAAAACGGAAACTAGTTAACCAAGCCTCTCACTGGCCTGTTCACAGAGCTTTCAACAAAAGACAAAGTCTTGACCAGATCACAAGCAAATATTATCTCTTGATTCTTTATCTACATTTTTTTAATCTATCATGACCTTGATCCACTTATGGTTTTATATACATATCATGTCTATAAATCCCCATATCAGCTTCTGTGATGTTCAACAAAAAGTCTTAGAAGAGACGACAAAAGGGGAGCTAATCAGAATAACAGACACTGGCTTCATTTCCTGACTGTTACTGGGAGGATCTCTTCCCTTCTTTCTATTCCTAGAACTTGTAAACAATGTCTTTCTATTCCATTTAAACTTGGCAGGTTATCCTTTATAAGTTTCTGTCTACCAAAGTGGTGTCCTATATTTGATAGACATCATGATGTCTTAATTAAGAAGTGGATTCTCTGACTTTAAATTAATGCTTATATATATAAACACACTCCTTCCTCCCTTGTTCAAATCCTTCACTTTTAAATCATATTTCATTAAAAAAAATCTGAATATAAATTAATAAAATAAACCTTGAGGGCAAAAAAAAAGTAATTATAAGATAAGATAAATGTATCCTTACAGTATAGAATGCCTCTTTAACAAATCTGACTTGAGCGAAGCATATTCTATGAATCATCAGTACATATATACTGTCAGTACGAACTAGTACCATTATAACAGTAACAATTTAAGGAATGATAGGATGGTGTTCTGATGAATGAATGACAATAGCTGCATTCTTATAGTTTAATTGGTGCAGAATCTCACTAAGGGACATAATCCTACCAGAAGAACCTTAACAGAGTGGAAGGTTGCAGGCATTTACTCACTCTTGAATTCATACTTAACTATAAGTACAGAGAAAACTAATCAACCGAACCGACCATAATCTCTGTGCAATTCTTTGCACCGTACATGAATTCTGCACTACCTATGAAATGAAAATGTACTGGTATACCGGGCATATACCTCAGTAAAAATCCTTATTACTTTATCATAGTTTATCAAATAATATAAACATATACATATGTAGTACATGTTCAACAGTTGATGATACAAATTTTTTTTTACGTTATTTTGTCTTGTTTAATGGATTTACCTTTATACACAATTCTGGAATCTACTGAGGCTCCACTGTAGTACTGTACATGTTCAACAGTTGATGATACAAAACAGATGGATTTACCTTTGTACACCTGGACTGCGAAACACAGGCGAAACACAGGGACACCTTTATAGTAGGGGGGTGGGGAAAATGACTTCTCAGATTTTCTTATATCCTTTTCTCAGCAATGTAGAAAGAATGATCTAAAAATAGAGAAGAACATTATCACCTAATTACTTTTATACAGTGTATAATATTGTACTACTTAATTATATGTAGGCCTGAAAAGGAGCAGAAATGTCAATAGCTTTTTCTTGAAAGAAGATCAGATTTTCATTAGGCATGTCTGATTGCAAGGCCTAAAGATCATGAAGATGGTAAAAAAAAAACATCTGTGATTTAGTAGACAGATCCAGTTAAAGATACACATGCATGTAATAATGCTAATTTATTTATCCATTTTGATGATTCTCTTTCACATCATGCAGGCTTTGAAATGATAGAGATCTAAATTATAGGGCAAAGGCACAAAAAGAGCCCAGCAGTTTTTTGTTTTCTGTGTCCCCTGATACTTTTCTCTATAGAAATAAAAATCATTATCTTATGAGAGAAAATTTTACAACTTTCATAACAGGAATCATGATCTACATTTGAAAACATATTGTATGTTAATCAATTCTATTACATATACTGTTGCTGCTGTTCAAATTAAATTATAACAGTACCTCTAAAAAAAATTCCATCATTTCTATGAATTGAAATCTGTGTTACATGATACAGATAAGTGATGGAGGTTTGGATAGAGATATAGAATATCAAAAATTAACAAAGTTTTAAAGAGAAAGTCTGGAAAATGAGGTTACAAGTTTCACATCTATCACATTATGTGAGAAATACAAGGCTGAAATACATAATAGTTAATGGTGAATTCTTTTTCGTTCAAATCAAGTTCAAGTGGACTTAATGCATATAATAATGCTTGTACTTTTCACAAAAAAGAAATTAGAATGCAAGTACCAATAATTTGCATTAAACAACTACAGCTACCATAATCTTATATCTTAAAAAAAGTCAGCAAAAAAAAAAAAAAAAACATCAGCCCACATTAAAAATAATTTATATAAAGATGTACTTTTGATCAACCAAACACAATGCATAAAATACAATTAATTAAGACAACAAACAAATACTGCTCAGATTGGCTAAATACTCACAGTGGAAATCACATAAAATTCCAATAAATCACAGCTAATTAGCAACCAACATGCAAAAAGTGCACTTTACTTCGCACAGAATGATTGACAACATTATGTGGATGTGACTCCTATTACATCACGACCAGAGAACGCTAAGTTTTAACATCACACAAGTGTTTGTTGTACAGAGAACTGGATTTTTTTTTTACACACATACTGTACCAGATATGTAGATTAGTTGACGAAATAAATATTGTACAACAGAACTGCAAATAACATAGTTATACAATGTGGTTTTTGGTGTTTTAACAGAGGACGCACCCCTTCAATATCTCTAAGACAAACTTTTAAACACTGACTGCACATTGGGCAGAATTTAGAACACTCCATATGATGATAAATTTTTTTTTTTAACTGGACTGCCTTCGTTAAAAAAAAAAAAAATGAATAAAAGACTAATATTTTTAATAAAGATTGTTGAAACAATTTAGAAAAATTAAATTCCCTGTAACTTAAAGTTACAAAATTAATTTGAGCCTTGATCCATCCATACAAAAATTTCCAGCACATTTAGATCACACAACATGTATCAGAAAAAATATTGAACACTGCAAGATGGACATTTCTTAGGATTAGAGCAAAGTAATGGAAAGGAAGCTTTCAGAGACATCTGTCTCAGGAGAAAGCTTGAGATAAATAACAACATAAATCACGGCACATCTGTGTTCAGGCAAATCTATAGGAACTAGTCTTTACATTTTTTGGGTTGAACAAATCTAGCCCTACTCTTATGTTGGCTACAACCTGTAGAGCCTAGTTTATTCTAATGTAATTACTTTAATTTAAATACCTATTAAAAAGATTACGGTAAATTACCTAGTGGACTTTTGTTTTAATTTTTATCATTGACTACATCTGCATGTGTATTTCTGGGTTTTTTTTCCATCGCATAATTCTACACAAGATTTAAAGTATCAGAGAATGCATGAACCAGTTTTTTTTGTTTTTGTTTTTTTAAATTATACATAAGTCGTTTTATGTACATGTGCAATAATATATGTAGTTGTTTTAAAATGACTAAATAACTAAAACTTAAATACCAGATTGCAACCTTTATCTAATCCAAACATATCTGTGTATCTGGTACGGTATGTATGTAAATCAATCAATGCAAAACATGGGATTAAATCTTTTTTTAAAGTGACTTCTGAAGTTCTCACAGTATTACTCAGTGTCAAACTCAAAGGCAGTTTTGTCAACAATAAAAAAAAAATCTTCGATCCCTATACCTTAACCCCATTTAAGCTGAGATGATTTGTTATCTATTCAAGGACGATGAACATAAATATGGATACACTAAAACAACAGATGACCTCATGCCTACATATATTGTTTTCACACTTTCAACCTCTTAACTCACTTAAGACCACCACAAGATGAGAAATTAAGCTTCCAGGTTTAAAAAAAAACACTGTTGAAAAATTTACTGTACCAATAGTACATCGATCCCTACAAAACATCCTTAGTGTGTATTATGTACTTTATGTATTTGAGTTCAAGGTGATTTGTTTTTTTTAAAGCATGCAAGTATGGGATTACATTAATATACAACCATCATTAACTATAGCTGTCATTTTGCACTTCCTTGCTAAATGCACTAATCAATGTCATATAAGACAAAGTACCTTACAAAAAGACATCATTTGATAACAGAAACAAACATCACATATTTGACCAATATATCTAGATATATCTGCCTCTATATATTTATCATGTTTGTAAATTTAGATTTTGGACTTAAATAGCTAGTCCTTGAATTTTTAGAACATCTGTGCATAGACAGGATGATGTCATAGATATTTTCTGAACATCTCTACATGTATGTACGGAAATGAATTCGGCATGCAATAAATTTTCAGACTCGATCAATGAGATTCTATATGGATTCCCATTTCTTTTGTACGAATTCTTTCTTTTGCCTGATTGGACATTACTTATTAAAATCTTAAGCATACATGTATATACATGTATAAACTGTATATGTATTTTTACATACTAGTACCAATCTCATTAGATTGATACTAGTACATGTTCATGTATATAGGCATATAAGTACCAGG